CGGTCAATATTCGTGTGAATCGATGTATTTTTCAAATTCCAGGTGCCAAGTTGTCTCAAGAGACAGACAAGCCTTTCAAAATCATACGGTACTAGCGGGGAATGGATGAGAGAAATGGGAGGAGATCGGCGAGAAGAGAAAGAGGGGCGGGGCTCCTCTTTCCTCTCCGATCTCCCCGTTGTAGCGACAAGTGTCCGACAAGAGAACACAGCTCTTGTAGAAAGAATAGGAAAGGTTGAGACTAGGGTAAGCCCCGCCTTCGATTTGCTCCTCATTTCTCCTCACTCAACCAAATGTTTTTCCCAAAGATTTTCCTTGATTTACCTCGTTTCTTTGATTTATTTATTTCTTTTGTTTTTCTCTAGTTTGTTTTTTTGTTTGTTTTTTTGTTCGAAAGTTTTGACAGCCTTCTATAGGCTTTGACAGTCTGCTACAGGCTTTGACAATCTGCTACAGGCTTTGACAACCTGCTACATGCTTTGACAACCTGCTACAGGCTTTGACAGCCTGCTTATAGCAATTTTTCTAGGTAAACTTGAGTTCAAATGAATCTTCTAGACTTCTGGATGGATTTAAATGGATCTAAAGTCGATTTAAATGGATCTAAAGTCGATTTAAAACTAATGGAAACTTGAAATTGCTATAATCCTTTGAGTTTTAGTCTAAGTCTACTTTTTTTACTATTGAATAGTCTAAATCTTAGTCTAAGTCTAGTCTAAAGTCTACTTTTTCTATTTTCTATTCGATAGACTAAGAATTTGACTATTGAAACCAGGTTTTATCATTCATTTTCATCCATTTCAGCCATTTTCAGCCATTTTCAGCCATTTTCAGCTAGATAGCTCAAGTTTTTAGCTTTTTAACCGGTTTCCACAAGTTATTGAGTATTTCTATGTAACCTTAGTACTATATTACAAAGAGATCTGCTATAGATCCATTTTATTAGATCCATTGTATTTATTACAATTTCAATTTCTTTATGTTCTTTATGTTCTTTATGAGATTGTTCTATAACAGTCTATAAAAACGGTTCCAAGTACAGTAGGTGATTGTTCGAGGCTTATACTATGTACTATATACTATGTACTATATAGTATGTACTACTATGTACTATAAATACTATGTACTACCTTATACTATAAATATCATCATACATATGATTTGACTCAAAGTAGTATAGACTTATAGCCATATTATAGCCATATCTATCTGCTTTTTATCTATGTTATCTATGTCTACTTGTTTATTTGCTCCTTTTACTACAACTCTACTACTTTTATAGTCGATTCAACTCTAATTCCTTCCCAATTCCTTCCCAATTCCTTCCCAATTCCTTCCCAATCACTTTCCAACTCTTGTTTATCCTTTTTTCAACATCCGATAGACAATATCTGGTGTTTGGGATTGTTGTCTTTTGGATTTAAGTAAAAGAAAATCATCAATCATTTCTTCAATCCCAAAAAATGAAAGGTGCGGGAATTTTCACGCGGCTCTCGTGTCACTTTTCAGCAAAAGAAAAAAGGAAGAAATCGGATTTACCGAAAAATTTGGTGTTTGTAGAGAAAAAAAATGTTTATCTATGGATTTATCAGAGAAATTTTTGTCGGACACAGTTTTGAACCGGTTTTTGCTCGTGTTATCACTTTGACATCGATTCGAGTCATTTTCTTGGTAGCTTTGTTATTTAGTACTAATCTAGAACTAGGCTGGTTGCTTTTAGACTCGTTTACTGGTTATAGAATCCATTCTGAACCCATTGATCCATTCTGAATCAATCGATTTCAATCAATCAATTTCAATCAATCAATTTCAATCAATCAATTTCAATCAATCAATTTTAATCAATCAATCAAACAATCAATCCATTGCTCTCTAATGATACACGCCTTCCACTTGCTCTGACTAACCTTCCAATTCCTCTGACTAACCATTAGATTTAAGAAAGTAAGAGAAATCTGAAAATATGTGATATGAAGATTAGAAATAAAGAAATGAAGAAAGAATAAAGAAGAAATTCTTCAAAGAGATGAAGAATAAAGAAATGAAGATAAAAAATTAGATGGAATATGGAATGAAAAAGTGGATTGGTCAGCACCGGGATTCGAACCCGCCGCCCGGAGTCGAACCTCTCGCTTACCAACCCAACGCTTTACCAATGAGCTACACCGGCACGTCTCCCAACCCCCTAGGAGAGGGTCTTATACCTTGCTTGGCCGAAATAGTCTTATACCTTCTCGCGTCTTTCTGGTCATAAGGCTAAGGCTCAAATTGCGTCATAAGGCTTTTTCAGTGCCGGTCAAAATGTGGCTTGGTGGCGCAGTGGATAGAGGGCTTGTCTACAAAGCGATCACTTCATCTCTTTGCTTGGGTTCGGTTCCGGCCTTTGTTTTTCTCCTTTTTTTTCTCCCTGATTTCTTCATTCGATCTTTGAACACTTAAATTTGATTGATTTTGATGATTCAAGACTTAACTTTGATTGATTTTAATGTTTCAACACTTCTAACACCTTTAAATCCTACCGTATCACATAAAAGTTGTGTACTCTCATTCATTCATCCAGTATCAACACCGTCAACAAACTAGAAGACTTTTCTTTTCTTTCTCTCATGTTTATCCATCTCCGATTGATGTCAACATGGGGAAAAGACATCAAATCATTCCATCGACATTGCATTGCTCTTTTTTTTTGAATTGATATGATCAAGATTGTTCAGTTGTTCAAGTGCTATACATTCCTAGATATCTAGATTCGTTTTCCGATCCGTTTTCCGTTTTCTCATCCGTTTTCTCCATTATTTCCGTTTCTGTGCTTTTTCTTGTAAACACACACCTTCTAGTGCACTGAAATCTTCACTTCTTCACCCAAATTCCTTATAACTTCACTCGAAAAAAAGAGAAAGACTCAAGTGCACTAGAAGGCATGCGTTTTCACGATTTCCCTTCAAACTAGAGACTTTCCTGGCCTACTGAATTGATGTACAAAAGGCGCACGTTTACACGAGCACAAAGTACGCATAAAGTACGCATAAAGTACGTACAAAGACGTACAAAGTACCTACAAACGTACAAAGTACCTAAAAACTACGTACAAAGTACCTACAAACGTACAAAGTACCTACAAAAGTACGTACTTTGTGCGTACTTTGTACGTACTTTGTGTACACCGATTGCACCACCCGACAATGACAATTGTTCCCCCCAAATACTTCAAATCTCACATGACAATCCGATCATCATCATCCAATCATTCTTCTCCTTTTACATTGACAAATCTCCAATTTCAATCTCGTTCTCCTCTCATCCGATCATCTTGCGTATCATTTTTGATTTTCTTTGTCTACTCTTGTCTCATCATTTCTCTATTTCTCGAGAATTTTCACACTTCTTTCAATAACCGATTCGTTTTTCGCTCAATCAACCATTTTTCTTCTCTGATTTTATAAGAAAATTATTGTAAAAGAAAAGAAATCGAACTGGAAACTATTGAACTAGAGAAGAAGGAAGGAAGGAAGAAGGAAGGAGGAAGGAGGAAGAAGAAAGGAGGAAGAAGAAAGGAGGAAGGAGGAAGGAGGAAGAAGAAAGGAGGAAGGAGGAAGGAGGAAGAAGAAGAAAGGAGGAAGAAGAAAGGAGGAAGGAGGAAGGAGGAAGGAGGAAGGAGGAAGAAGAAAGGAGAAAGAAGAAAGAAGATAGACTTACTGATATTGATTACTGGTGATTACTGGAATTGTTTACTGATATTGATTAGAGTTGAGTAGGTATCTAGTGTAGATTCTTTGTGATTCTGGCTCTTTGTAGTTATGTAAACAGAGCCCTTCTAGTGCATTGGATTCTTGGGAAAAGTCGGGAACATCTCTTCTAGCGTACTGAAGTCTTGTGCAGAAAATGAAGTTCTCCGTGCACCAGGAAGGATGCGTTTCTAAGCGCAAAGCGTTCTAGCACAGAGAACGCATAGTACAGTAGATCTAGTTACCCTTGAAATACCCATGAAATACCGTAATCCCTTGCAAAACCGTAATCTTGGACCGTAGCTACTTGGAATTGCTTGGAATATGCTTGGAATCTGTAATGCTTTGAAATACCGTAATCCCTGATTGCCGTAGTCCTGTTTATCGTAATTCTGGTTACTGTAATCCCTGGTTACTGTAATCCCTGGTTACTGTAATCCCTGGTTACTGTAATCCCTGGTTACCGTAATCCCTGATTGCCGTAATCCCTGGTTACTGTAATCCCTGGTTACCGTAATCCTGGTTCCTGTAATCCTGGTTACCATAATCCTGGTTACTGTCATCCCTGGTTACCGTAATCCTGCTTACCGTAATCCCTGATTGCCGTAATCCTGTTTACCGTAATCCCTGGCTACCGTAATCCTGCTTACCGTAATCCCTGATTACTGTAATCCATTCCTGTTCTTAATTTACATCTAAACCAGCTTTCCCCCAGAAAGCAGCAGTAGTATCCCTAAGCAATGCTAAGCCGTAAGCAATGCTTGTCTTTCAACCACTTGTCCAGCAATCTTTTCAATCACTTGTCTAAAAGTTTAACCCAATTATTCACCTACTAAATAGTCATCCCCTTTTCTGGGACAATTATCTCTCGAAATCACATCAGAAAGACTGAGATTTGTGACCGAAAGGCTTAGGAATAAGACAAAAGTGATCATGAATCGTGAGAAGACATCCGTTAAACAAGAACATTTCCATATCCGGCACTTCTCGTCAACGTTTTACCTTGCTTTAGATTGATTTGTCATTTCAGATCTGATTAGAGCTCAATGGATTGTCTCAATGCATTCATTTGAATCTAATCTACCCCATTTCATTCATTTCCTTCACTTCATTTCCTTTTTTTTCTTTTATTTATCACTTTTGATCTATCTCTTATTAATGAATCAAGTTTTTGAGAGTTTTTTTAAAAACAGTTAATCTTCTTACAATTCTATTCTATTTCAGATTTTATTTGGGTGTCCCTATTCTCTATTGGAGCAATATTCTCTATTGGAGATGGCCTTTCCATTCAATCCGGCCCAACTCCTTGCCGCAACGACCCAACCGAGCACACCAGTCAAGTCTGAAGACGCCTCGACTCCTTCATCCTTGCCCGAAACGATGAGATATTTAGCTGCAAATGGACCATTGTTTCAAGTAATCAAAGAATTCTAAGGCTTAGAAATAGCGAATCAAATAGTTAATCAAATAGCTGAATTCAAACTCGATAAGCAGGCAATCAGTCTTTTCAAACTCGATAAGCAGGCAACTTCTTCAATTTTAGTTCAATAGTCAATCAGTCATTGAATCCAGCTTCCCTAGCACTAAGCTATAACATTCTTGGCGTTCTTGGCCACTTGTAGACTCAGGCTTAGGCTCAGGCTTAGACTTAGGCATAGGCTCAGGCTCAGGCTCAGTATTCAGTTAGAGAACTGACTACTGAAGATTTCAAGCGATTATCTGATACTGGTCAACTAATATAGTGGAAAACGCTGTGCACTATACAATTCTGAACATTTTAAACGATTTTAAACGATGCTAAACAACTCTAAGCAACTCTAAGCCAATCCTAAACAACTCTAAGCAATTCTAAACAATTCTGAGCCAATTCTAAGCAATTTTAAGGAATTCTAAGCAATCCTAAACAATCCTAAGCAATTCTAACCAATTCTAAGCATTTCTAGACCAATTCAAGGCAATTCTAGACCAATTCTGAGCCAATTCTAATCTTCTAGGGCCTGCCCGGTCTCCCCGGCGGTCTTCCACTCCCAGCCGGACTTCCACCAGGCTTTCCCCTACAACTTGGGCCATATCCAGGCATACCATTGGTGAGTAATATAAATTTATGACATAGGATCATCTCTGTTTATTATATTTATTCCATAGAATCTTATATTTCTATGTTTACTATAGTATTTGTCTCAGCGCAAGTCGGGTAAATGAATCAAGCAAGAGAATTCTTTGGGAAAGTTCACAACTTGAGCATCTTTCACTCTTAGAACTCTAGTTAAGCTCAATTTCTTTTTTCTATTACCCAAATCTCCATTTAAACCTAAAAGCGATCTCCTAAAAGCAGGATCTCCCCAACTAATCCATTGCATTTCATTCTGAAAAGCCTTAGCTGAGATGAAAGTCCCGAGAGACATAAATTCGACGATTATCTAGAGAAAATGTGGTATCTTTTTCGATCGAAAAGCGGAGTGGATTCATTTAAATGCTAATTAACAAGCGGTTTGACCCTTTTCTTCATTATCTAGACGAAAAAGGAACAGGAAAAGCGGCGACAATTTCCATTAACTCGTGTTTTCTCTCTCACACTTCTCTCTTTTCGCTTTTCGCTTTTCTAGAATCGATGTATCAACATTGCAAAGCTACCGTATCTTTCTAAAACCTGGAAATTCATTTTTTCAATCAATAAGAAACGTTTTAAAGAGTGAGAGAGGGTTTAAGGAGGGTTTAACTAGGGTTTAAGTGGGTTTAAGTAGGGTTTGAGTGGGTTTGAGTAGGGTTTGAGTGGATTTGAGTGGGTTTAAGTAGGGTTTAAGTGGGTTTAAATAGGGTTTGAGTGGGTTTAAGTAGGGTTTGAGTGGGTTTAAGTGGGGTTTAAGTGGGTTTAAATAGGGTTTAAGAGGGTTTAAGTAGGGTTTAAGTAGGGTTTAACTACTTAAACCCTAGTTTAAGTGGTTAAGTCGTAGTTTAAGTAGTTTAAGTAGGGTTTAAGTAGGGTTTAAGTAGCCAGTAGCCAGTTTAATTAAGGTTTAAGTAGCCAGTTTAAGTAGGGTTTAAGGAAGGTTTAAGTAGGGTTTAAGTAGGGTTTAAGTAGCCAGTAGTCAGTTTAAGTTGTCAAAACATAAACATTACTCTAGAACTCTAGACCATTACTCTAGAACTCTAGACCATTACTCTAGAACTCTAGACCATTACTCTAGAACTCTAGACCATTACTCTAGAACTCTAGACCATTACTCTAGAACTCTAGATCATTACTCTAGAACTCTAGCAAATTACTTTTCAAATTAACTTTTCACTAATTTACGTTCAAATGTTCAAATGAACATCTCTAGCTCGGAAATCTATCAACTAAACTCTAAACTAAGACGAAAATAAGATAAGCTATCGACTAGATAAGCTATCGACTAGATAAGCTATCGACTAAAATAAGATAAGATCTCGACTAAAATGTTCCCCTATTACAGTAAATTTATTGGCTATTTGTACGCATCACTTGGGATTCACATGTGTAGCAAAAAGGGGATATGGAGAGCACAGAAACGATGAAGAGCCGCAAATTCGGGAAGAGTGGAGGCTGTGCAAACAATCTCCCCAACCGCAATCTCCTCCTCTCCTCCTCTCCTCCTCTCCTCCTCTCCTCTCCTCCTCCCTCCTCCTGCTCTCTCTTCTCCAATATTTCCGTTATGAGCAAGGATTTACGATTTGGGGGTGTCCGATTCGACAACTATGTGCTGAATTACGAATTAGATGAGATTTTATGGAAAGGGTACAGGGTTTTGAGAAAGATAAGACTTCGATAAAGAGACTTGGATAAGACTTGGATAAGACTTGGATAAGACTTCGATCAGAGCAAGTACAATAGTTTATTGTCATTGTAGACTTGTTGGGCTTGCTGTAACTGTCCAGGGCTTAGGCTTACGATTATTGTAGACTTGTTAGGCTTACTGTAACTGTCCAGGGCTTAGGCTTACGATTATTGTAGACTTGTTGGGCTTACTGTAACTGTATAGGGCTTAGGCTTACTATCATTGTAGACTTGTTGGGCTTACTGTAACTGTTATTTGCTGTAACAGATTGCTTAAAATTGTCTATGGCTACTAGAACGACTAGTAGAGCAGCTAGTAGAGCGGCTAGTAAAGCCTATGTAATGCGCTACTATATTTCTACCCTATTCCTATATACAATAAGGTTAGATATAATAAAGAAGTAAAGGAATTGGCAAGAAAAAGTTCCGGAGAAGGGATTGAACCCTGAGAGAAGAGGAGAGAAGAGCTTTTGCTTTCCAGGCAATTGCGCTGAGCTATTTGGGACTTTAATGGCTGAGAGAAAGAAGAAAAGACAAGGGGAAATAGTACAGTAACTGATGCTGTGCAGTAACTTCTGTATCCTAGACCTAATCGAGAAACTCGGCAATCTCTTTATCATGTCACCCCTCAAGAGAAATGCGTAAAAACAGACAGCTTGAGTGAAAGGAGATGATTGGGAAAGCATGTCATGTCCTTTTCTGATAGTGATTTCTATATGAACCCATTCCTTTAGGATATGATCCATTGTGTGTGTGTCTGATAACGAGCACTGCCCCAAAATGATATCTATTGGGTGATGGATAACGGAAATTGTTGTCTCTCTCACTATCAAACGGAAATATTATATAAACGGGGATCCTAGAAAGTTAGAGGTTAGCTAGAGGTTAGCTAGAGGCTAGTTAGAGGTTAGAGGTTAGCTAGAGGCTAGTTAGAGGCTAGTTAGAGGTTAGAGGTTAGTTAGAGGCTAGCTAGAGGCTAGTTAGAGGTTAGAGGTTAGTTAGAGGTTAGAGGCTAGCTAGAGGCTAGTTAGAGGCTAGCTAGAGGCTAGTTAGAGGCTAGTTAGAGGTTAGAGGTTAGTTAGAGGCTAGCTAGAGGCTAGTTAGAGGTTAGAGGTTAGTTAGAGGTTAGAGGCTGGCTAGAGGCCAGTTAGAGGCTAGTTAGAGGCTAGTTAGAGGTTAGCTAGAGGCTAGCTAGAGGCTAGTTAGAGGCTAGTTAGAGGTTAGAGGTTAGTTAGAGGCTAGCTAGAGGCTAGTTAGAGGTTAGAGGTTAGTTAGAGGCTAGCTAGAGGCTAGTTAGAGGTTAGAGGTTAGTTAGAGGCTAGCTAGAGGCTAGTTAGAGGTTAGAGGTTAGTTAGAGGTTAGAGGCTAGCTAGAGGCTAGTTAGAGGCTAGTTAGAGGCTAGTTAGAGGTTAGCTAGAGGCTAGCTAGAGGCTAGTTAGAGGCTAGTTAGAGGTTAGAGGTTAGTTAGAGGCTAGCTAGAGGCTAGTTAGAGGTTAGAGGTTAGTTAGAGGCTAGCTAGAGGCTAGTTAGAGGTTAGAGGTTAGTTAGAGGCTAGCTAGAGGCTAGTTAGAGGTTAGAGGTTAGTTAGAGGTTAGAGGCTAGCTAGAGGCTAGTTAGAGGCTAGTTAGAGGCTAGTTAGAGGTTAGCTAGAGGCTAGCTAGAGGCTAGTTAGAGGCTAGTTAGAGGTTAGAGGTTAGTTAGAGGCTAGCTAGAGGCTAGTTAGAGGTTAGAGGTTAGTTAGAGGTTAGAGGCTAGCTAGAGGCTAGTTAGAGGCTAGTTAGAGGCTAGTTAGAGGTTAGCTAGAGGCTAGTTAGAGGCTAGCTAGAGGCTAGTTAGAGGTTAGAGGTTAGTTAGAGGTTAGTTAGAGGTTAGAGGTTAGCTAGAGGCTAGTTAGAGGTTAGCTAGAGCTTTCTGGGTATCGAAGTTTTCATATTTTGTCGTAATGAGTGATTTTAGTTTTGTTACAAGTATTAGAATACTTATTAGACTAACATTTTATACTTGAAATACTTTGGAAAGTATAGGAAGTTTTTATATTGAATCTAGATCTAGAATCTAGATCTAGAATCTATAATAGAATACTATAATCAATCTCTTCTATTAATTATTTTACTCTAATCAATCTAATATTGAATCTGGATATAGAATCTATAAGAGAATCTATAAGAGAATCTATAAGAGAATCTATAAGAGAATCTATAAGAGAATCTTTAATAGAATCTTTAATATCATACTCTAATCAAGCTAATATTAAATCTGGCTATAGAATCTGGCTATAGAATCTATAATACTATCCTCTAATCAATCTAATATTAAATCTGGCTATAGAATCTTTAATAAAATCTCTAATACTATCCTCTAATCACCCTAATCTATTAATTCTAGTATAAAAATGAATCAAATCAAATCTCTCATCGATTCAGTGTATCGGAAGTATCACTTCTCAACGAAAAACGAGAAAAAAAAACGGGAGAAAAACGCCTGATTGACCCCAGATTGATCTATAAAAAAAGAAAAAAAGAGAAAAAGAGAAAAACGATAGCAGTGTCATTAATTAATGACACAAGTAGTTGAATGTGAAGTCTTTTTTTTCTTCACATTTCTATGACCTTGTCTATATGTAATCGAAATAAAGAAAATGCTCGCCTCGATTTTCTCAACTTTTCTTTCAGTTAGCATAACTTTTTGGAGCGCACAAAAATGCCCCACCCCAACAAAAATTTCCGTTATTTCCCCGAAAATGACCTTCGTTTTCTCTGTTGTTTTATGTGTGTAAAAAGAAAATGAAAATGAAATGTAAACGGAGATTTTAAGCAACTAAAGAAATCGGGAAATGACACCTTTGAGGGGGGGAATTGACAGCATTTTGAGTGGTTTGGGGAAACGGGGAAATGTTAGAGGTACTAAGTACTACTAAGTACTAGTACAGTACAGTACTAGTAGTACTTGTACAGTACAGTACAGTGCAGTACAGTACTACTAAGCTTTCTTTACTAAGTACTAGTAGTACAGTACTGTACAAATAGTATGTAGTGTAGAAAATTGGGCTTAAAAAGCTGTAGAAGCTTGAAGAACCTAGTTAGATATGAGGAAAATGTCATTCTTGCTTCGCTAAGATGTCATTCTTGATGTCAAATGTCATTCTTGATGTCAAATGTCATTCTTGCTTCGCTTAGGATTACCAGCGCTCACTAACGTTCGCGTTTTCCACGTTTTTTTATAACGGACGTCTTTTCTGATATATAGTAGATAATATAATATAAGACAAGATAATACAAGTACTAGAAGATATTCAAAGATAAGCAGTTGAAAAAAAAGCCGGAGAAAAAAAAGATTATTCATCAATAAGCTGCCAGCGGGATCGAACCCGCGGAGCCCGATCGAACCCTCAGACTAAGAGACCGACGCTCTGGCAATCCACCATGAGGACAGCTTGACCCCCTGCTTTTCCCTGCCCTTAATATAAGAAAACAAGGCCGCGTTGTTCGTCAAAAGCTCCAAGCGGGATTGAACCGTACCCAACCGAACCTTCAGATTAAGAGACTGACGCTCGGGCAATCCACCATGAGGACAAGCTTGTCCCCCCTGCTTTTCCCTGCCCTTTCTTCAAGGAATTCCTGTTCTAACCTTTATTGAGTGTCTTGTAGATCTCAATCTAAAGTTATTGAGTATCTTGTAGATCTAAAGTACAGCTCTATATCTAAAATCTCTACAAATCAACTCGTAAAACGATCAAAATCAATATCAAACAATTTTTAGGACCTTGGAGGCGGTGGTGGCGGTGGGCCAATGCCTCACATCTTTTTCGATCCAATGGGCTATCATCCATACAATGGAGAACGACGAAAGAACGCCACCAGAGAAACAACAGCTCCATTAAAGGTGATAACAATTGGGTAATTGAACCAAAGGATTTTCTAGGCTTGGCTTCTCGAGCACAAAAAGAATCCCTATCCAACGAAACAAGAGAAGATTTTGCTGGCTGTTTTGACAAAGATGTCAATGACACAAGTGAGTTTGCTGGGGTAACAGCTCTCAGCTGGGGTAACAGCTGAGCAGTAGTTGTAGACTAGTTAGTTGTAGACTAGTTACTTAGTTGAAGGTCTCTTTTTTGTTTTGAGTAGTCAATCTGTTGTCTGTTATCACTCTTAGAGATCTATGCCTATTTCCTTTGAGTCGAGGAACAGGCGCGTTTGGTTGGACACACTTCTTGCACCTCCTCGTAATCTTAAATTCAAATCTTCTTGAATTCCAAAGACCCAAAGAAATCTTTGACTAAGAGTTGAGTGCAAAGTGACAGCTTTGTATCTCTTTTAAGATAAAGGTTTGTGAGTTCTTTGTCGGAACTATACACTGACTATTTGTACAAAGATTTTATCTTATTTTTTTGGAGAGAAAGACAACTAGTCAACGATTGGTTTTTAGGGGTTTAAATTGGGTTTAGAATTGGATTTAAATTGGGTTTAGAATTGGATTTAAATTGGGTTTAGAATTGGGTTTAAATTGGGTTTAAATTGGGTTTGGAATTGGGGTTGGAATTTGGTTTAAATTGGGTTTTAAATTGGGTTTAGAATTGGGTTTAGAATTGGGTTTAGTATTGGATTTAAATTGGGTTTAGAATTGGGTTTAGTATTGGATTTAAATTGGGTTTTAAATTGGGTTTAGTATTGGATTTAAATTTGGTTTAAAATTGGTTTTAAATTGGGTTTAGAATTGGGTTTAAAATTGGTTTAAAATTGGATTAAAATTGGGTTTTAAATTGGGTTTTAAATTGGGTTTAAATTGGGTTTTAAATTGGGTTTAGTATTGGATTTAAATTTGGTTTAAAATTGGTTTTAAATTGGGTTTAGAATTGGGTTTTAAATTGGTTTAAAATTGGATTAAAATTGGGTTTTAAATTGGGTTTTAAATTGGGTTTAAATTGGGTTTAAAATTGAATTTAAATTGGGTTTAGAATTTGGTTTAAATTGGGTTTAAAATCGAATTTAAAATCAATTGTAACTTGTTAACAATTCCAAAGCAACAATTCCAATAAAATCTGTTAGACTTAATAAGCTGAATGTATTTCTTTGCTTAAATTGATGCACTAGAAGGAACCTTTCGACTTTTAAGCAAAAGTACACCCAACTTCATAACTCTAACAGCTTTTATCCAGTCAATTTCAGGGTACAGTTTGATTCAAAAGGTTCTAGAAACCATTTGTTTAGATGTTTACACACTAGAAAGCCTGCGTTTACATGTTTAAAGGGGTTTAAAGGGGTTTAAAGGGGTTTAAAGTTCGTTTACATCAGCACAAAGTACGATTTACATAAGCACAGTACGATTTACATAAGTACAAAGTACGATTTACATAAGCCCAAAGTACGAGTACTCTAGAGAACAATCATTTACATCATCACAAAGTACACATTCTATAGAATTGCCTTTCTAAAGCCATCTACAAATCCGGCATAGGCTTAATTACAGTCCAGTCTAGGTCTAGTCAACACTAGTCCACTCCGGCATTTGTTTACAGTATCGTGTGAATGAGACAAGTGGTTTGAAGAGATTTCCCCTTGAAGAGAAGAGAGAAATACCGCCATGTCCCCACAAAAAAAGGACTCGGGTCACTGCCCATTTCATTGGCGGCGATTATATTCATTTCATTGGCGCCGGGAAAAGGGTTTCGGCATCGTAGTTGACATGATAATTGACAGAAGTGTTTGATTGGGGAACCTGTTGGGGATCATGAGGGAAAGGATAAAGAAAAAGGAAAGGAAATCAAGAAAGGAAAGGAAATCGAGCCCCTACTGGCCTTACGTAAGACTTGAAGACGGCACCTTTGTCCTGAGTGGCGCAATATTGACCCCCGGAAATTGACTAAATAGCTAGATCGATTAGGGAAAGATTGAGGGAGCAATGAAGGGATTCGCTTTGAAATTTGCGTATAAGTTTACGATAGTTTACTGTACTGGACTGGACTGTACTGGACTGGACTGTACTGGACTGTACTGGACTGGACTGTACTGGACTGGTCTGTACTGGACTCTACTGGACTCTACTGGATGCTATCCTATGCAAATCTTGCTGTACTTTGAACCACAGCTTTTAGAAGTAGCTTTAGACTTGGCTCAGAATAGACTTTATCAATCTCTACTAGATTTTAATAGAACTCTACAGTAGGCTCTACAGTAGACTACAGTAGACTCTACAGTAGTCTCTGCGGTAGACTCTATAGTAGACTCTACAGTAGACTCTATAGTAAACTCTACAGTTTCAAGAGAACTCTACAGTATACTCTACAGTCTAAGAATACTGGCTATTACAGTATCTATTTTACTTAAGAGTACTAGCTATTAGGGATTGATTCTAAAGATCTAAAGCGCTAAAGCCAGCCTTCTAGACTGCCTTGCCATTTTTTGGTCCTTTAGCAACTCCAGAGTCTCTTATCTTTTCCTCTAATTGATGGGGGTTGTAAATTTGTGTGTATTTTTTTTGGTTTTTATGTCGACAAGTGTCAGAGAGGCTTTTTTGAGATTTGATTTGAAATCTGATTTGAAATTTTTTTGGGGAAATTGGTGAGAAACAATGGCATGTGAGGGATTAGTGGAGGGAGAGGAGAGCTGTAAAATGACACCCGAGAAATGTAGGGGGAAATTCTGGAAGAGATCTGAAGAAATGAAGGAAGGGACATTATAAGAATTAGAGAGATTATAGCTATTTACTAGAACCTCTAGCTCCTCTAGATCCTCTAGCTCCTCTAAATCCTCTAGATCTTCTAGATCTTCTAGATCCTCTAGATCTTCTAGACCTTCTAGATCTTCTAGACCTTCTAGATCTTCTAGATCTTCTAGATCTTCTAGATCCTCTAGATCCTCTAGATCCTCTAGATCTTCTAGACCTTCTAGATCTTCTAGATCTTCTAGATCTTCTAGATCCTCTAGATCCTCTAGATCTTCTAGACCTTCTAGACCTTCTAGACCTTCTAGATCCTCTAGATCCTCTAGATCTTCTAGACCTTCTAGACCTTCTTATATATCTGATTCAGGTCTCCACATGGTTTGCGAATGCGCGCCGACGCTTGAAAAAAGAGCATAAAAACGAGTGGTCACCGAGAAATCGACAACAGGATGATGATGTGCGTAAAAAGCTCTACAGTATATCTACAGTATATCTCTACAGTATATCTGAATATCTTTTCAATCTTTTTTTCTAAAATCCAACTCTTTCAGGACGATTTGGACACCGTTGATGCAAACGAACGCCCGTCCAGCTCCATCTCCGACATCAGTTTACCCCAACAGAATGGAGAAAGGAAACATGGTGAGTTACAAGAGTTTTTAGCTCTATAAATACATTTTTCTCATCTATAAATCATATTTGTTTAGAATCAAACAACAATGCGAACGGCTCCTCACAAGCGTTGGCCTCTCCATCATCAGCAGAGACTGAGTCACCGAAAAAGCCGAAAATTTGGAGTATTGCTGATATTTCGATGAAAAAGGATGAGGAAAATGATTCAAGAGAAGAAAATGGATGTCCTGATGAGGCTGGATCGAGTAAAAAGGTGGGTTTTGGTGGAGAGAATTGATTTTACAGTACTGCTTTTATGGCTTCTAAAAGGGTGTGCTTGAAAAAGCCTGTAATCCTTACAATTTGACTTATTCATTAAATGTTTTGGCATCATTTGATGCGCCAAGTCTTTCTCTATCGATTGGTACAAAAACTAATGAAATTGGACGCACCAACACCGAGATATTTGAGTTCAAAGTTAGATTGCCAATGGCGAAGTGGGTTGCCTTTTATATGCGCCCCAGCCCTTTTGTCGTTTCCTTAGAATGTAAATTTTGGAATTTTGGCTTTGATCTGACTATGAGATGTATTATTACGCTGTCCAGACAGATCTTGTCCAGAAACAAAGGTCCAGAAACCTTTTATACATGCCCCGCCCCTTTTGCCATTGGCAATCTAACTTTGAGCTCAAATATCTTGGGATTGGGTCATCCAATTTAAGTATTCTTTGTATCATTGAATGCGCCAAGTCTTTCTCTATTGATTGGTACAAAAACTATTTAAATTGGATGCACCAACACCGAGATATTTGAACTCAAAGTTAGCTTGCCAATGGCGAATCCGGGACGAGTATAATTTTTTTCTTATTCAGGAATCTGATGAGTCTCCATTGGCCGGTTTAGCAGCAATGGGTGGAAATCCGTTCCTAGCCATGCAACAATACATGGCCATGATGCAAAGACTCGGATCGGTGCCTGGAGCCGGTCTTTTGCCACCCGCATTTCCTAGGTGAGTGCTGAAAGGATTGATTCTTTGAAAGGATTGAGTTCATCGAGTTTTACAGGACTTTAAAGAATCAATTTTCAATTCTAGACCCCCAATGGCCGGTCCAGCTTTCCCGCCACTTGCCATTTTCAACCCGATGCTCCTTCTGCAACAAATGCAACAACAAGCCGCCGCCGCCGCCGTTGCCGCTGCCGCTCAGTCATCTCCCCAACAAACAACAGTTCCTCAGCTGAATGGTGAGTGGTTTTTATCGATTACTATCGAGATTACTATCGAAATCGATCCCTCAGAAACTAAGTTAATACCGTACGATTACTCAGAAACTCACTTAATACCGTACTCCTATGTGACAAAGTTCTTCACGATCATTGTCGGTTTCCCCCTTTGAAATTGGTTCATCCTTTTCAGCATTCATTCAGCCTTCATTCATAAATCCTTCTTTTTTTATTATTCTCAAACGGTTGGCTTTTATAAGCCGATTTTATGGAGAAGGGTTTATTTGGAAAAGAAGGAACACTTGCTTTTTTTTTTACACTTTGAATCTCACTCACTTCGAATTATCAGTCATAATCCCTTCAGAATTTCTCTGACGAAAGTCTGATATTGGAAATATTGGGAATATTGGGAATATTGGGAATATTGGAAAAAGAGTGGGGAAAGATTGGAATTAAGGCGATTAACAAGCGGGGAATACAAGGGGTGTACTGATTGCATCGGGAATTCTTGACGGAAAGATGAATATTCAGGGAATACTATATATAAAAGAGCAGTGTCCGTCCGTTCTGTCTGTTCTGTCCGTTCGTTCGAGTCCTCGGCTCCTTGAAACAAATTTAAATCATTTTTAGTTTATTAGCCTTAGAATTCTATGTAGTTTTGAATCTGATATTTCATTTTCTAAAAAAAAAAAACTCTTGTCACAGCTAGGAGCCGAACCCGGATGTTTTGGCTTGTAGGCCAGCGCGCTCCCGACTAGGCCACGGCGACGACTGTTTGAGCAACCGAAAAATCGGCCCTTAAGCCAGCCGGCCCAGCCGTTTTTCGGCTGATAGGAAATTACATTTTCCTAAAGTTAATTCCCTTTGGAGCAACTCAGATCAGTTGCGTTGTGGTGTAATGGTTAGCACAGTTGCCCGGTAAGCGAAAGCTCGAGGTTTCGAGTCCCGGCGGCGCAGGAGCTTTTGTTTTATCGTCTAATTTTCAAGAACCGGTCAAGAACCAGAAAAAAGTCACCTTTTTCTCAAAAACTTTCGTGTTTATCCTGTAAAATAGGAAACATACACACTTTGTAGATTCACAAAGTGAAAGAAAGAAAGATAAGAGCAGTGAAAGAGGCAGCAACACCTCATAAATCATTTCCCCCCTCTATCAGTCAAAAGGAGGCTCCCGTTATTTGCCCCACCAAAGAATGCTGTGCAGTTACAAGGGGGCAAAGTAAATGACTGTAAATTGAAATGTCACCGATTGGAAAGGGGGTTGTAAACACGTTTTATGGCTGTGTCATTGTCCATAAAACGGGAGGGACCGGCAAATATTGGAGAAACTTTGGAAACGCTGGGAATGTTTGTTTGAAATTTGGCTAAACTTTAAGGATAGCTTATTGTAGATTGAAGCATACTGTAGTCTACTGTAGACTGTAGTTTAATGTAGACTGTAGCCTACGGTAGCTTTGTAGTTTACTGTAGATAGACTGCTTAGTTTACTGTAGATAGTTTACTATAGATTGAAGCGAACTGTAGCTTGCCATAGACTAAGCCTACTGTAGCTACTATAGCCTTGTTTTAGATTGCAGCTTCCTGTAGCTTACTGTAGCCTCCTCTAGCTTTCTGTAGCTTCCTGTAGCTTCCTGTAGCTCACTGTAGCTCACTGTAGCTACTGTAGCTTCCTCTAGCTTCCTGTAGCTTACTGTAGCTTCCTGTAGCATCCTGTAGCTTACTGTAGCTTCCTGTAAGAACTTGCAAACATTTAGCAGACAAATTCATTAGCAGAGCCAACATCTCAATAGTTTTCAAATCGTTTTGGTTGGTGTTAGGCGAATTGACGGATGGGTGAACAACTGATCGAATGTGCTATCATGCCCGTTGATCTCTCCAATTTGAGATAGAAAAAAGAATAGACAACTGTTCTCACATTTCTGTGAAACACAAGACACCGAGGATTTGCTTTTGATTTGGGTAACCGCAAAAGAAAAAGAAGGGAGAAATATTGGCCTCGATTGGGAATCGATGATCGATGCTTTGAAGGGAAATAAAGGAAGATGAAGCTAGCAATTTGGGGATAAGCTAGATAATAGAGTTGATTATTGATTAGATCTAAGTTTTTGAAACGTGTTTGTAAGTAAAGCACCCATAAATGTCTCTGAAAGCTATGGATAGCTAATTACTGTCTCTGAAAGCTATCTCCGTCTCTGAAAGCTAATAAATAGCTAATTACTGCTTTAAAAACACTATAATAACCAAAAAGAAGTGTTTTCACAAAGTTTTCCAAAAAAAGCAAAGAATTTGGCGACAAGGGGAATTGAACCCGTGAGCATTGGTTTGGAAGACTAGCTCACTATCCCCTAAACCACCGGGGCTTCTGTGGCCCTTCGGCGAGACGCCCTCTTAAAGGCAGGTCGCGTCCTAAGCCAGCTTTTAAGTAAGAGGCCTTTTAAGCCGAGTTAAGCGAGAGGGCGTCGTGGCGGTCATAGCCGAGTGGCTAGGAGTCCAGGCTCTTAGTCGGGCGATCAACGGTTCAATCCCGGCGTCTAGATTATTGCATCTTTTTTGTCATATATGGGTTAATAACGTGTTTCTTGGAGTTCTGAGGGGCTAGGTTTCAAGCTTTTTGTAGTTAGATTTCAATATTAATCTTCAATCTAAATCCAATCTCGGTCTAAATCAATCTCGGTCCAATTCCGATCGATATTTCTCTCCATTCTAATCGAAATTTTCAGGTTCCTGGTCCGAAGGCCAATCTCCAAGCCCGTCCTCAAGCAATCATTCAGCCGCTTCTCAAGACGATTCAAAGGGAAACCATTGACATCTCAAATTACTAGTTCAAATGTAAATGTAAATGCTTTTTTTTCTCTTTTCCGGTTCTGATGTTTTTTTTTCTGATGTTTGAGACGCCATGACGTGTGAACAGTATTTTCAAAAGTATTCCGTTAACATTACAGTATTAGGCCTCGCATTTCACTCGTTTATTGCATTTTCGGTTTTGTTTTGTTTTGTTTTTGTCTTCATATTGAGCTTATTTCTTTGGAATACTGTATCTTTGGAATATCCATTAGGCTCTTTTTAGCATATCAAGAGTTTCAAATGTGTTTTTGTGTTTTTGTTGAATGTTTTTTCGAGATTCTTGGATCTCTTTGAGTTCAGGGTTACGGTAGATTGTCTGAATTGAAAGAATAGGTTTTAAGAAATTGAAAGAATAGGTTTTAAGGAAGTAAAGATTTTTGTTATTTTAAAAAGAGTAAAATGGGGAGTGGGACATTTGCGCGCCCTTTTTTGAGCACCTGGACGACCTGCGCACCTGCGACCTTTTTCTGCGCCTTAGGAAGAGCTTCCTAAGAGCCTACGGCCTTAGGAAAGGCCGTAGAGCTTCGAAAATATTTCCATATAGGCAATCGTATGCGTAGATTCCGAATTTCGACAAATCAGACCTCGCTGACACGTCAAATTTGGGCTAAAAGGCAAAAACTACGCAACTTAACGCTTTTCTTCCGCAGTTTTTGCCTTTTAGCCCAAATTTGACGTGTCAGCGAGGTCTGATTTTTCGAAATTCGGAATCTACGCATACGATTGCCTATATGAAACGTTTTTGAAGCTCTACGACTTTTCCTAAGGCCTTTTCCAGCAAAAAAAAGGTGCGCAAATGTCCAGGTGCGCAAAAAAAGGCGCGCAAATGTCCCACCCTCGTAAAATGGTCTATTTTATGCAAAAGCTAACGTATTTTGTGAAAAAGCTCGTTTTTTTCTCAATTTTACATGATTACAATAGATTTTGGCTTGGTTTTTTTTCAAAAAAATGAACTCTTTCGAATTTCTTTTGATCAAAATTCGATTAAATCGAATTTTTCTTGAATTTGAGTAATTCTATTTGATAAAATATCTACCGTAACCCTTTTTTAAAGCCTTTTAAGTCAAAAAACTTTCTACCGTAACCATTTTTAATCTGAAAATAGATAAAAATTGATTTTTGTTTGAATAGACTGTGATCTGTCGGCCCTATTTCCCCTACAAAATGACATAATTTAGGATTTATGTGAACAAGGAATTCTTTTGGATTGATTTGGGAGCTTTTTCTTTAATCTTTCTATGCCTTTCTTTAAGTTTTCTTTAAGTTTTCTTTATCTTTCTATACTTTTCTTCAATTTTTCTTACTTTTCAATACTTTTCTTTAATCTTTCCTTACTTTTCTTTAATTTTTCTTTATCTTTCTTCAATCTTTCTTTAAAAAATAGGATATTTATTTGATTTTCTTGAGATTTTATGCAAAATTCCATCAAATACAGTGTAATAGAGTTTGTTTTTGTTTTTTTTTTTTTGACTTCTTTCCCTCCAAACCATGACAAACAATATTTTGACTTTGATCTTTTTTCTCTTTTTTTTTGTGACTGAGTTTTATGTTTGAGGTTTTTCTGGAAAATGAAATGCGATAAAGAGCATTTTGAAAGGTGAAACTGGTGGAAAACATTGTAAAAATTGTAGAAAAACAAAGAAATGTCCACAAAAAACTGTAAAAATTGAAAAAAAAACCAAGAACTGTACACAAAAACTTATCAAAAACTGTAAAAACATTGTAAAACAAGCTGTAAAATACAAAAAACTGTACAAAAACTGTACAAAAAATTGTAAAACAAACTATAAAATACAAAAAATTGCAAGAAAAAACTTGTAAAAACTTTTATTGCAGACCCCCAATGGCCGGTCCAGCTTTCCCGTCCAGCTCCAGCTTTGATTGCAGGCCAGCTCCAGCTTTGATTGCATTTTATTGAAAAATGCATATCAAAAGACATCAATCAATTAGAAAAACTACAGTAATTTGATTGGCTAGCATTACAATAGCTGACAATAGCTGACAATAGCTGACAATAGCTGACAATAGCTGACAATAGCTTACGATAGCTTCTACGTGAAATCAAGTGCATCTCATAATGCGTTTTGACATCCCTAAAAATGAGGGTTTAAAGAGATCGAGAACGGCTACTGGGTTCATTTTTTTTCTCATTGAAAAGAGTTATGTTTATGAAAATGTTGAAATGCTACAATGTGCCCATTTATGCGCTTTTATAGTCATCAATTTTGTCGGCACGAAAAAAACGGTATGAAGCATGTATTTACTAGTTTCCCGTTTTAGATTCGAACAAAATAAAGCCAACCTTCTTGCGGGTGAGCCCTGCAGACACCCAGGCGTATCCATGAGCCACCGAGCCGGGCGCATCCGTTTTTGCCGCCCCTCCGAGTGGCATATCTGCTAGAAATTGTTAAAATTGCCATATAACTAGATGTTTATATAGCTAAACTATTAAAATATGAGTTCTATAACAATAATAAATCTATGACGGGGTGGAAAACGGATCATTCCTCATTCTTGGACTCAGGGTTTTCTAGTTCTAGACTCAGTTCTTTGTTCTAGAAGTGGGGATTTTCAAGCATTTTCTTTTGAATTCTTGAATTGATCTAATAACTAAGCAAAGAAAAAACAGAAAAACAATAATTCTACAGATTTTTAGCTAAAAACTAATAATTTTAATCTTTTCCCAAACGCCTGTTCTTACATATGCTCCAGATTATGAAGAGAATTAAATTTTCGGTAAGTATTTTCTCTAATAGTAGTGCACTCCGGCGAGCCGAGTTGGTGACTACTTTACGGTTTCCAAGCTTTTGCAGAAGCTCAACACTCTAATAGATCACTAGATCTCATCGTCAGCTACATTTTCCGACCCCACATCGATAGGTTCTGATAAGCGGTTCTCGAGATTTCGAGCAATTTAGGCAATTTAGGCGACGCTCACGGTGCACTACTATTAGAGAAAATACGGTAGTCAAAATCAGATGACGCTCAGGTCAGATTCATTTTCGAGGCACTAGAATCTAATTCCTAGTCTTATTCGAAGCTTTTTGCAATCTGCTTTCCCAAAAAATGACAATGTGTCTCTGTGTTGTGTGTTTATTCAGCCAATCCTCTCGCTCGATTCATAGCTTTTTTTGTTCTCTATCCAACACATACACACATTTTCTCTGACACATTACAAACGTTTTCGAGTGAAAATGGATTTTAGGGGATTTGATTTAAATAGTTTATACTGTAAATACTCTAATAGAATACTCTAATAGAACACTCTAATAGAATACTCTAATAGAATACTCGAATAGAACACCGCCGATAAAAGAAGTTAGATTACGCGACTGTACGAAGAGGTGGCGTTCTATTAGAGTCTTTAGCCACATTCTATTAGAGTCTTTAGCCACATTCTATTAGAGTCTTTAGCCACATTCTATTAGAGTCTTTAGCCACATTCTATTAGAGTCTTTAGCCACGTTCTATTAGAGTCTTTAGCCATGTTCTACTAGAGTATTTAGCCACGCTCTATTAGAGTCTTTAGCCACATTCTATTAGAGTCTTTAGCCACGTTCTATTAGAGTCTTTAGCCACGTTCTATTAGAGTCTTTAGCCACGTTTTATTAGAGTATTTAGCCACGTTCTATTAGAGTCTTTATAGTAATCTTTTTCGTAATTCACTTTAATGCTAACATTTGTTCACTAGATTTCTAGAAGGAGTGATAGTAAATGAATGAAATGGTTGATGTGGAAGGGAAATGTTTCGAGAAAAGAAAAAGAATGATCACAATCATTTGTTTCTTTTTCTTTTCTTGACATTTATCGATGTTTGTCTCGTTTTTATTGTCCATTGAACAACCATTAAATTGAGGATTGGAGAGGATTGGAGAGGACATTCCTAGACATTCGCAACATCGATTTGAGAAGATGAACTTTGGTTTTGAGGGGATAGGGAAAAACTATGAAAGCTTTGATTTAACTGCTTTGATTTAACTGCTTTTGATTTAACTGCTTTAATTTAGATAAGAAAGCTTTAACTATGTAGAACTTGCTTTGATTTAGAAAAAGCTTTAAATTTGAAAGATTTTTAGCTTTTTACTTCAAAAGCTGGCTTTTACTTCAAGAGCTAGAGCTAGAACTAGAGCTAGGGCTGCAACTCTAGAACTAGAACTAGAACTAGTACTCTAACTAGGCACTTGTTTGTGTACAGATGTCTGATCTACTCAGCCACAAATACCAGCTGAAATATTGGGTTGTCTAGTTATGGATACGGGTTTTTACTATTTTGTAAATTTCTCAAGACATCGAACAGATGTATTTGAGTGTTATATACCATTCGAAAGCTGAAGATCTCCTCTATATTTTGGAATAAAAAGGTTTTTGAATTCATTCAACTTTTTGGGAAATTAACTGCACAAATGGAGAGGTCGTTTTCAAAAAAAACCCATTTCAGCTTAGCTATTCCTCAAGTTTTATGGTGTAAAATAACCGCCCAGAAAAGAAAAGCAAAGTAAAGATGCTCTGAAATTGTTATATTTAAAAAAAAGTTGTATTGATATATCTATTGGCCAAACATCAAACGGTTAACTCAATTTGAGCGGAGCCAAAACTTGATCCAAAGGCACCTCGGCTGGCTCTGAGTCCTGAGAGCTGGCTCTGAGTCCTGAGAGCTGGCTCTGAGTCCTGAGAGCTGGCTCTGAGTCCCGAGAGCTGGCTCTGAGTCCTGAGAGCTGGCTCTGAGTCCTGAGAGCTGGCTCTGAGTCCTGAGAGCTGGCTCTGAGTCCTGAGAGCTGGCTCTGAGTTCCGAGGGCTGAATGTGAGTCCGAGAGCTGGCTCTGAGTCCTGAGAGCCAAAACTTGATCCATTTTTTGGCCACCTCTTCTTCTGTGCAGTCAATTTGCCCAAAAGCTGAATAAATTCAAAAACTTTTTATATCAAAATGTAGAGGAGATCTTCAGCTTTCGAATAATACTCATATACATCTTTTTCTTGATTCTTGAGAAATTTACTTGAGATTTCTAGCTCTAGCTCTAGATGCAGCTCTAGCTCTAAGCTCAAATGTAGAGGAGATCTTCAGCTTTCGAATGGTATATAACACTCATATACATCTGTTCGATATCTTGAGAAATTTACAGAATAGTAAAAAACGCGCATTCATAACTGGACAACCCAATACTTCACTTGTTAGCAATCCTTTCAATTCAATCCTTTCAATTCAACTCATTCAATTCAATTCATTCAAATAAACTCATCCAGAAACATTGCTCAACTTTATTACACAAAAAATGGACAGTATACTGTAGAGGAGAAAGTTTTGCGTTGCGCAAGTTTGGGATCTCTCTGCCTTTTGCTCAGTTGTCTTTTGCTCAGTTGAGAGGATCCAATTGTAAATGGAACGATCAATGCCAAGGCCATTCACTTTTCAAGACAGCATATGCTAATGTTATTTCTCTTGAGTTGATTTGTTAGTTGATAAAGGGAGATTGGGGGAGTTGAAATAAAAACTCTAATGTTGAAGTTGAAATAAAAACTCTAATGTTGAAGTTGAAATAAAAACTCTAATGTTAAAGTTGAAACTTTAATACTCTCTAAGATCTTGACTGTTTAAAATCCTTCACATTCAAACACAGACTTTGCACAAAAGTCGTCAATAACTCACTGCAACACGTGTTTCTTTGTGTACGTAAAAATTCGGAAATTGATTTGACACCAAGTGGTGGTTGAGTGAAGTTAATAGGACTGGGATTGGTAATGGCTCGTTCTTACTTGACTCGTTTGATTTATGTTCGATTTTCGAATAGCAACTGTTTGACAGGAGGACAGAAAAGGTTACTGTTCATTAGGGGGTTGGTAAATGATATCAAGGGATTTGATATGATGACCAGTTTGATATCAAGAGATTTGATATCATGACATCTACACCAATTCTTTGGATGGGGCTGAGGAGAGATTCTCTCTTCTTGTCTTCTTTCTGGTCGCCGAGAAAAGCGTCTGTGGCTAAATGGTAGAACTTCGAAAAGCGAGCCAGAGCCGAAAGCAGAAAGTCAAGGGTTTAATTCTCCTCAAGGTTTCTTTCTTTGCCTATTTCTTTTTAAAACGAAAAGCAAGAAGCTCAATGAAGAGTGGAGCTGATTCAAAGTGACGCCTAATTTCTTGCACTTTCTAAAATTGTTTCCAACGCCAAAAATTTCGCCAAACATTTCGCCAAACAATACTTGCATTTCCTTACTGTATCAAAACAACCTCATCGATCTTGAGCAGTTATAGAGTGCGACGCGTGGTCAATCCCCAAGGATCCCTCTCCTAGATATGATCTGTTTTGATGTGTGAGTGGGGGCAATCTTTCTACACACAACAATTCCTAGTCAATGTCTTTTCCCCATCATCCTCATTGTTCTCAATGTCTTTTAATAGGCACTCATCAAGACCATATGTCTCTCACTTCAATACGAGATCAATCTACTAATAATTCTTGTGGTAAAGGGGAGATTAATCTACCAATAATATAATAATAATATAATAATAATTCTAACCAATAATAATAACAATAATCTACCAATTCTTGGTTAAATTTGAAATAAATCAACATCGTTTCAACAAACGTTCTAATCTAAACACTTTGAATCAAAAATATCAACCAAGCGCTGGGGTTTGTGCCTTGAAAAATGCAAATCTTCTAGCAGACTACAGCTTCTAGCAGACTACTATTCCAAGAGACAATATAAAAGCCTATATAAAACTGATAAAGCCAAAAATAGGACTAGTTTGGACAGAATAGGACAAAAATCAAGTCAAAACTATGCCCGTACCTTGTGCTTTGGCTGTACTCGCCATAACTTTCTTCTAAGTCGACCAATCTTTATGTTTTTGGTGTCATTTTGTTGTACTGATTAAGATCTACAAAATGACATCAAAATCATAAAGATTGGTCGACTTAGAAGAAAGTTATGGCGAGTTGTGCAAAAAACGAAAAACTAGACGCAAACTAGCCCCCTATTTCAATAAAAAGCACTTTATAAATTAGTTAGTCAACTATAAACTTGAACCAATCTATTTTTAAACCAAAAAACTCTATCTCCACTTTGTTTTTCGTAAAACTCTTCAGTCAAAATGTTTCAAAAGTGTCCTCGAAGCATCGCCTGTAATATAAACATTTCATTTGTCAGCAATACTGTTCGACATCGTGTCACTTTTAGAGTCGAATCGTTTATCGGATTCGATTACACGATTTGAACTGAAATACGAAATGGATAAAATAAAAATAAAATTAAAAATAGGGACTTTTATTAATGTAGAAGTTGTAGAAGTTGTGCGATTGTACAGGGTGCGGCAAATGTTCCGACACTTTTTGTAAACGGGCAGTTTGACTTGGAAAAGACGCGATTTTTGAAAAACTAACACCGGAATATAAAAATTCAGATATTTTTACCCCCTAATATACTTTTTTTGCACAAAAATTGCCATCTAAACAACCTTTTGATGAGGATGTTTAAAGGTCATTACAGCCGTTTTTTTTGCTGTTGAGATTTGGGTGCCCTTCGTAGAATCGCTCGAAAATCTTTCGTTTTTGAGATATAAAGTTTTTTTGTGGCTTGTTTTCAAGAAAAAACTCAGTTCTATCAAATGGTAACAGCAGTTTTTGGAAAAAATTTCATTCTGCAAAGTTTAAGACCGGGATATAAAAAATTCTCGTCAAAAAGTTATTGAGAGTTGAAATCTTTTTATGAAAATGGCTATATTGGGGTGAAACTGCCTAAATTTTTAGAATCCGGCGTTAGTTTTTTGAAATTCACGGGTTTTTGAAGACAAAAAAATTACTGCTTACAGAAAAAGTGTCAGAACTTTTGCCGCACCCTGTAAAAAGCAGCAAAAATTTCTGTATTCTAAAATGTGGGAACAAATTTAAACACCGTAGCTAGAAAAATGCGCCACTTCCCTCACTGAAATATCTTTTAAGTCGTGATATCTTTTTAAAAGTAAAATTTCAGGCGAAATTTTCATTTCTCATTCTCTACATTTTGCCGATCAGTTGCCTCGAACACGTTTATTTTGCGCTCTTTCACCGTAGTTGCTCTCTCGTAAAACAATTATTGATTCCCGCGCTGAATCTGAATCATTTTCGTATCGCCATTCAACCTTTCGTATCATTTCGCAAAGTTTCTCATTCCCTTCTTCGTTTTTCATCATTTGCTTTTACGAGTTTCACTTTTTAGCTACTGATAATCTGTTTTTATTTTAGAAAAATGCAAATTTTCGTGAAAACGCTCACTGGCAAAACCATCACGTTGGAAGTGGAGGCTTCTGACACCATCGAGAATGTCAAGGCCAAGATCCAGGACAAGGAGGGCATTCCACCAGATCAGCAACGGCTTATTTTTGCCGGTGAGTTTAGTTTTGAGTAACATTAAGAAGCGTTTGTTTGATCAAGTTTATGTTTACTTTTAGGCAAACAATTGGAGGATGGTCGCACTCTTTCCGACTACAACATCCAAAAGGAATCAACTCTTCACCTTGTGCTCCGTCTCCGAGGTGGCATGCAAATCTTCGTCAAGACGTTGACTGGCAAGACGATCACGCTGGAAGTTGAGGCCTCGGATACCATCGACAACGTCAAGGCAAAGATTCAAGATAAGGAGGGAATTCCACCAGACCAACAACGATTGATCTTTGCAGGTATCAAAATTTTATTGGTTTTGTGTACAATTACCCTAAAACAATACTCAAGCTTTCTTTTTTAGGCAAGCAATTGGAGGATGGTCGCACTCTTTCCGACTACAACATCCAGAAAGAGTCGACTCTTCATCTTGTGCTCCGTCTTCGAGGTGGCATGCAAATTTTCGTCAAGACGTTGACTGGCAAAACGATCACGTTGGAGGTGGAAGCTTCAGACACTATCGAGAATGTCAAGGCCAAGATTCAAGACAAAGAAGGAATTCCACCAGATCAGCAACGATTGATCTTTGCAGGTATTCTTTTGTTTTAAAGAATAGGACTTACTAAAACATTGGATTTCTGTGGAAGTAATTTCACTTGCAAGAAATGGTAGCTTCTTAATGGGGTGGCCTTTGCAGAATCCTAGAAAGATCAATTGTGTGGCGCTTCCGCTACTTGAAGATGCCCGATTGCAACGGTATATTCCTTATCCTTTCTTAGTTCCGTCGGAACCATGAAAGTTGGGAGAAACCATGCCGTGAACAAAAAATCATTTGATTTAGTCTGAATCTACTTTTTAAGCCTTTACAAAAACATTACTTATTTAGGCAAACAATTGGAGGATGGCCGCTCTCTTTCCGACTACAACATCCAGAAGGAGTCAACTCTTCATCTTGTACTCCGTCTCCGAGGTGGCATGCAAATCTTCGTCAAGACACTCACCGGCAAGACGATCACGTTAGAAGTGGAGGCTTCGGACACCATCGATAATGTCAAGGCAAAAATCCAGGACAAGGAGGGCATTCCACCAGACCAACAGCGCTTGATCTTTGCAGGTAAAGTTACTGGTTTACCTGTCAATGTTTTAAATAGCAGTCTTTTGAAAAAATTTATGGATTCCTGTAGGTTTAACCTACGAGCAAACAGAAACCCAACTTATTTGGTGCTCTCCTGCAAAATCCTAGAGCGACTGGTTGTGTGGCGCTTTCATTATTGGAAGATGCCCGGCCGGTGCGGCATATTCCTTATCCTGTTATAGCTCCGTCGGAGCCATGATTATTGGGAAAAACCATGCTGTAAACAAACTTAATTTCCAGATGTTTATTTTGAAGCTTTTACACTTTTATTTTAGGCAAACAATTGGAGGATGGTCGCACTCTTTCCGACTACAACATCCAAAAGGAATCAACTCTTCACCTTGTGCTCCGTCTCCGAGGTGGTATGCAAATCTTCGTCAAGACGTTGACTGGCAAGACGATCACGCTGGAAGTTGAGGCCTCGGATACCATCGACAACGTCAAGGCAAAGATTCAAGATAAGGAGGGAATTCCACCAGACCAACAACGATTGATCTTTGCAGGTATCAAAATTTTATATGGTTTTTGTGTACAATTACCCTAAAACAATACTCAAGCTTTCTTTTTTAGGCAAGCAATTGGAGGATGGTCGCACTCTTTCCGACTACAACATCCAGAAAGAGTCGACTCTTCATCTTGTGCTCCGACTTCGAGGTGGTATGCAGATCTTCGTGAAAACGTTGACCGGCAAGACGATCACATTGGAAGTGGAAGCCTCGGATAGTATCGAGAATGTGAAAGCCAAGATCCAGGACAAGGAGGGCATTCCACCCGATCAACAACGCCTCATCTTTGCCGGTGTGTTTATTACCTAAAAGCTCTTACTAATTATTTTGTTTAGGAAAGCAGTTGGAAGATGGACGTACCCTCTCGGATTACAACATCCAAAAGGAGTCGACTCTTCACCTCGTCCTTCGTCTCCGTGGTGGCAACTAATTGAGCGATCGCATGTTTATTATTTATCATTGCCCATTTGCACACTGTATATGTATTTTGTTGACGATAAATGTATGGGCTTTAATTATTGGTTTATCAAAAATGCAAACATGGATCACATTCTAGTCTTGGCATAGATTTGCAAGCCATCCAAGAGAAAGGCATTAGTTAGTCGTGCACAGCTATGAAGCTATTGCTATTAGTTTAGCTTGTTTGAGTTTTCTGTTGAAATTTTTGAGGAAAATAACTGTTCATGTGAGGATGGTGCTTCCATGGAAATGCTGGCCCTTTGCATGTCGACACAAAGCAAAGCTAAAGAATAGGATATTTGCTGTGTTTTTGGTCGGCTCGCTAATTTTCTTATTCACAAAAAGGGCACATCTTTTTGGAATGTTTTCGACTAGCTGGGAGGCTTCCTTTTCGAGATTGTTTTCGCTTGTGCTCATGCATTTTAATCAGCTTTTTACGACATGGATTTCTAGACTAGCCCGTTTAAATGAGGCTGCGTAACTACAATTTGTAGTTTTTTTGAGATTGCTTTCTTTAGTGACATTTTTTCTGAAAGTAGTGTAGCAAATTTTGTTAGTCTCTAATGATTGACAGTTGAGGGGGAAAAGTTTGCATTTATGATGAGGTAACTCTTCGAGCAAGTAACTTGATGACATCAATTGTACTCATTTTATCATTTTTCATTGTTGTGCATTTGAGAATATCTTTTCGAATAGTTTCGAATACTTTAGATTTGGAAACTTAAGCTTTTGAAAGAATGACGACGAAAACGAGATCGAAGAGTCAACCGCCACACACCGCTCATTCGGAGGTTTGAAAAGTTTAAAAAAAATAAGATTAACTGTAAACTATTAGGCATGTAAAACATGTTAATTACTAGGATTTGTAAAGTTTTTTTTCGTTCTTTTTCGTACTTTCATTGAGAAATAACAAATTCGCTTCTTTGTTTTGTTATTTTTCAACGTTATTTCAATGTTATTTCAATTTAAAATAGGAAAAAGAGCGAAAAGAATTTCTGAAAAGCCTAACCACTTATGTTGCTTTATTTACAGAATGAAGCAGGAGCTTTTCTTTACAATTTCAAACCCAAAATTTAGGCACATCGATCAGAAAGCAGAAAGAAGCTATCTCGCGGAAAGACAGCTCAATCGAGACATCGAAACGGCCCACCTGCAAGACCTCCGTGGAACAATGGTTGGGAAATTCGGATTTGTTTTATTTTGGATTTGTTTAATTTTTCTGAACTCTGAAAAGTTTTCCCTTAAACTTTGACTTGTAACATCTATTTCTTCAATTTTTCAATACATTTTTAGACACTACGATTGACTACGAGAAATTCGAGATCAAAACCGATCCTCAAGCGCTGCAAAAAGCGAAAGAAGAACAGGTAGCTGGGAAAGAATGGGAAGATTAAATGAAATCTTTTGTTTAGGAGGCGTTGAATCAGAGTTGGATGGAGAGTCTTCGACCGGATCCACTTGGACGACCACCGTGGAATAATGGTTGGTGAGAAAGGGTTGACTTTCAAGGCTCAGCTTTCAAGGCTCAGCTTTCAAGGCTCAACTTTCAAGGCTCAACTTTTAAGGCTCAACTTTTAAGGCTAAACTTTTAATAGCTTTCTATTGCTTTCATAACTTTCATAACATATCGATTAGTGCGAAAATTAAAGGCTGCGTATTTATGGATAACGGTCGATCGATTAGCGGGAATAGCGATTATCGGCGGAAATGATTTCATGTCCGATTAGCGGCGAGAATAAGAGATGCACAAAAATATCTGTTTATTGCTTCTAGAAGCAAGATGGATCTGATGAATAGAAGTCAGACCAATAATTGGCTATCCAGCTTCAACTGGGTCAACCATTTGGTCAATTTTATAAACCCTAATGATCCAACAATCCACACACAAACGATTGAGGTCCACAACGATCGATCCGCAACGATCCACAATGATCCACAACGATCCACAACGATTCACAACGATCCGCAACGATCCACAATGATCCACAACGATCCACAACGATCTACAATGATCTACAACAATCCACAACGATCTACAACGATCTATAACGATCTACAACGATCTATAACGATCCACAATGATCTACAACGATCCACAACGATCTACAACGATCTACGACGATCTATAACGATCTACAACGGTCTATAACGATCCACAACGATCTACAACGATCCACAACGATCCACACATCATGCATTCCCTTATCCTTATCCTGCATTCCCTTATCCTAAATCATTGCCGTTGATAATCGACTATAAGATAACTATAATCATTCTCGCTATTGTAAAGAACGAAAATTCTTATTGTTTCAAATTCAGATACGACTTTCGACTATGATAAACACGATTTTCAACAAGAACCCGCTGGAAGGGATTCGAAAGAAGAACAAGTTAGTCATAAAAATTACAACATCTTTTGGCAATGGCAACATCTTACAAATCTGGCAATGGTTCTTGATTTCAAGATCTAGTCATACTTTTTAAGGGAACCTAGTGGGATCACTGTACACGGTGCGCCAGAATTACGGCGACACCCTTTCAACAAATTGCATGCCAAACGCCGCAATCAATTCAAAAACCCTAAGTGTTATATAGAGAATTGAAGCGTGAATTCTTGCCTACATTTCTGTATCAAAAGATCTTTGATTCGAGTTATGCAGCCGATTTGTCAGACCCTCAAATGAGCCCTAACCGACGAGTCGGGGAGTGAGAGTGAGCTCATTTGAGGGTGTGAAAAATCGGCTGCAGAACTCCAATCAAAGATCTTTTGGTACAGAAATGTAGGCAAGAATTTAGGCTTCAATTCTTTATATAACACTTAGGGTTTTTGAATTGAGTGTGGCGTTTGGCATGGAATTTGTTGAAAAGGTGCATCCGTAATTTTGGATCTAATATCTTTCAGGACTACTTTTATGGAGATCTTTTCGAATAACGGCACCTTTTGCTAGGCGAATTTTTAGAAGAACCTATTAGCTTAGCTTTTTCTTGATTACGGTAACTTCTTAAACTTAATAACTAACTAGCTAGCTAAGGGTTTCACGAATGATTGTTTTTTTTGGCGATTTTTTTTATCAAATACAAAGTCTCATTTATTCACTAATACCCATCAAAATACAAACCTGTATAAGATATAAAAGAAATAAGAAAGAGAATAGGGAGAAAGAGAATGGGAGGAAAGAGAATAGGAAGAAAGAGAATGGGAAGAAAGAGAATGGGAAGAAAGAGAATGGGAAGAAAGAGAATGGGAAGAAAGAGAATGGGAAGAAAGAGAATAGAAATAAAATCATAAAAGAAATTCAGGAGAAACTGAATGAGACGTGGATGTCGAGTCTTCGCGGTAGTTTTCATCAAGATCAATAAAACAAAAAAGGGAATTGCTGGGAAAGATCATTTCAGAGAGATCATTTCTTTATGAAATTCAATAAATTTCGATATTTTTAAAAGAAAATGTGATAATTTTGAGTAAAGAAAAGGATTTTTTTCTAAGTTTTAAGGTTCTTTATTGTTCTTATTGTTCTTATTTAAGTTCTTTAACGTTCTCATTGTTCTTTATTGACCCTCGGCTTGACTTCGGAGCATGGCGAAAATTTTCTCTTTGATCCACTCTTTGTTGTGTGGAGTGTAAGTCTTTTGCTGAAAGAGAAAGAGTTATTTTGATAATATTATGGTTTCTTGGAGGTGGGACAAATGCGACCTTTTTTTGCGCACCTGGACATATGCGCACCTTTTTTTTGCTGGAAAAGGCAAGACCGTAGAGCCTACGGCCTTAGGAAAGGTCGTAGAGCTTCGAAAGTATTTCCGTTGAGGCAATCGTATGCGTAGATTCCAAATTTCGACAAATCAGACCTCGCTGACACGTCAAATTTGGGCTAAAAGGCAAAAACTACGCAACTTAACGCTTTTCTTCCGCAGTTTTTGCCTTTTAGCCCAAATTTGACGTGTCAGCGAGGTCTGATTTGTCGAAATTCGGAATCTACGCATACGATTGCCTATATGAAACGTTTTTGAAGCTCTACGGCCTTGCCTAAGGCCGTAGGCTCTACGGCCTGGCCTTTTCCAGCAAAAAAAAAGGTGCGCAAATGTCCAGGTGCGCAAAAAAGGTAGCATTTGTCCCATTCCCGGTTTCTTTAAGTTCTAAATTAGCAAAATAAAAGAAAAGTGACCAATTAGCATAAAAGCAGGCAAGAATAGCTCAAAGATTAGCGATCAAAAAAATTGAGAGATTTTTGAGAGAATCTTTTTTGTTTTTGATTTTAAGCTATCCAATTCTGGCTGTACTTTGCGCTCTCACAAACGCTGCTTTTTGAGACTTTTTCTAGTAGATTTCTCATTAATTTTCACAAATTTCAATTTGTAAATAAGAAATAAGAAAAACTGCAATGTTTCTCTGGAAATAAGAAATAAAGAAGTGTATTATTAGGACAACGAAATATCATATTTGATAAAAAAGATCGTCACTTTCGCGCGTCTGTAACTCCCTTGTCTTTACCGTATTTGTAAATATTAATATTACCATTGTGTAGCCATTGAAAAGAGCTTTCAGAAAATGTATAACACTAATAGTTTAAACTCAAAGACAAGGGAGTTACAGACGCGCGAAAGTGACGATCGTTTTTCAAATATCATATTTCATTGTCTAGTACTGTACATGTAGAAATGCGGATTTCAACCTTTTGCATCAATTTCCAACGATAGAAACCTGATATTGATAAGCTGATATCGATGAATGTTATAAACTATTTGAAAGTTGTAAATCTCCTCTACAAAATAGGCTAAAACGTGTTTCAATTGATCGAAGCATTGAAGAAAAGGGCGAAATGCGAGTGACCAAAAAAGGAATCGAGTCACTTTAGGGACAAGTTTAGTGTCGTCAAAATAGAGTTAGCTTCCCAAAATTGAAGATTTAAAAAAAAAGAAAGGATAACTATATATGAATTCATTAAAAAAAAGTCTAACGGAAATGCATTTACAGAAATTTAGATAAAGCGTAAGTTGCGAGGGCGAAATGGAGTGACCATAAAAGCACTTTTTGGGCTTTTTGGGCACTTTTTGAAACCCCACTTTCACCACTTTCACAAGAGTTCGTTTTTGACTATATAGTGGAAAATGAGCGCCCTAAAATCATTCAAATTCATCATTCAATCATTCAAAATAATATCATTCAAAATAATTAAGAGTTGGGATCATTTCATGAGAAAACTTTTTTTTTACAATAGTTTTTCTTTTTGGTGAAAAAGCCGGTTTTTTGACAATTTTGAGGGTTTCGAACTTACGCTCTATCTAAATTTCTGTAAATGCATTTCCGTTAGGCTTTTTTTAATGAATTCATATATAGTTATCCTTTCTTTTTTTTTAAATCTTCAATTTTGGGAAGCTAACTCTATTTTGACGACACTAAACTTGTCCCTAAAGTGACTGGATTCCTTTTTTGGTCACTCGCATTTCGCCCTCGAAATTTCTTCGATGCTTCGATCAATTGAAACACGTTTTAGCCTATTTTGTAGGGGAGATTTACAACTTTCAAATAGTTTATAACATTCATCGATATCAGCTTATCAATATCAGGTTTCTATCGTTGGAAATTGATGAAAAATCCGCATTTCTTATGCATTTACCTAATCGTAACCAAATCCTAATAGAAAGGAGAGCAAAAAGTAAGTGTTTCTTTTGTCAACACTAGAAGAAGCTCAGCTACTCTTGTAAGTTGTACAAGTTGTGTAAGTTGTTGATTTTTTTTAAAAACTTACACCATTAAGCACCATGCACGAGAGATCGGTGAGTTTATCAATGAAATCAAAAAGATTCGAGACATCGTAGGTGATTGATGGCTGGCCAGGGTTGTGCTTTTTAAGAAATTCCTCATAGATCTTGCAGATTGCTAAAAATTGATGAATTTGGCTCAATAAAAAGGTCATATTAGTCATATTAGGCTCTCCAGAAAGTCTTTTCGTTCCTTTTCCAAAAAAAAGAACAAATTCATCAATTAACCTCCTGTAATTACTGTAATAATCGTACAGTCGCTTCGTCGAAAATTTTTTTTAGTATTTCATCTTTTCCAAGGCGCCCGTACTTTCAAAAAATGCGTCTTTAATATCAAAAAATAGCCCTGAATCTCAGCTATTTTTTGATACCTAAATGAGCATTGTAGCATAAACCAGTGTCGAGAAAAACTCGTTCAAAGCTAGACTACGCAAGGCTCCGCATGCTCATTATGGGGATGGGGCTATAGTATTTACTAGGGTTTTGCTCTAAATAAAAGGTGTTTATTGTTCAATTTCGTATCTTTTAAGTCAATTTCGCATCTTTTTAAGTCAATTTTGCTTCACTTTCGAGCAAATTCGAGAGTGAAAGCACGTGCTTTCTATAAAAGCAAAAAAAAATCTATAAAAACCTCTACGAAGAGATTGACTAAAGCAATTTCTTTGAAAATTTGGCTATATACTCAACTTTTTATGCTCTACCTTTTATCTATTGACATAAAGATAGGTTTCTTTAGCTAAAAGTGTGTCTTTTCTAAAGTTAAAGTGTTCGCATCATCGCTTTTTGACTAGCTGACTTTAGGCTTTCAAAAAAGTTTAAAAATAAGCCATTTCAAGCCATTTTTAATGTTATTTTACAGAAAAATGATTGAATTTTCTGTAAAATAACATTAAAACATTCTGATGAAAGAAAAAGAAAAAGAATTAGCTTTCTAAAGTAATGCATTTGTTGGTTTTAAACAAAATTAGGAACGAAAAGATTTCTAGTCGAATAGGATAAATAAAAATGGTTTAAAATGATTATTTTATCTATGCATGGTATAATAGATCATCTATTATTGGTTTAAAGTCAACTTTGCTTCAATTTGCTTATTTGCTTATTTGCTTATTTGCTTGAGCATCACTTACCTTCCAAGCACTCTCGAAGTGTCTCATAGTCACTCCACGTTCGGCTATCAAGCTTCGATGTCGGTTGCATCAAGAGAATCGTGTGCATTGTCTAAATTTTTTTTTAGTTTATTTAAAAAAACAATCACGAGAATCACTAACAAATCAATCATTAAAATAGCTAGAATTGGAAGAGGCAAGGAATGAGCAAAGAAAAGTGGTAGAAAATTGGATTGGAATTGGAAAGGCGAAGAATCTAGTGTTCGAAAAGCCATTGAAACTTTGTGCTTGGACTTAGTGCAAAGGCTAGCGCCACTAAGTCTATTTGGGTTTGGCCTGAATTAGGCTTAGGCTTAGGCTTAAGGCTTAAGGCTTAGGCTTAGGCTTAGGCCTAGGCTTAGGCTTAGGCTTAGGCTTAGGCTTAAGGCTTAAGGCTTAAGGCTTAAGGCTTAGGCTTAGGCTTAGGCTTAGGCTCAGGCTTAGGCTTAAGTCTTAGGCTTAGGCTTAGGCTTAGGCCTAGGCTTAAGGCTTAAGGCTTAAGGCTTAAGGCTTAGGCTTAGGCTTAAGGCTTAAGGCTTAGGCTTAGGCTTAGGAGGCTTAGGCTTAGGCTTAGGCTTAGGCTTAAGGCTTAGGCTTAGGCTTAGGCTTAGGCTTAGGCTTAGGCTTAGGCCTAGGCTTAAGGCTTAAGGCTTAGGCTTAGGCTTAGGCTTAGCCTTAGGCTTAGGCTTAGACTTAGTCTTAGGCTTAGCCATAGCCTTAGATTTAGACTTAGGCTTAGGCTTAGGCTTAGGCTTAGACTTAGACTTAGACTTAGGCTTTTGAAATTGTGGAACATTTGAGACGAGCCCAGCCCCTTTGCCATTGGTAATCTAACTTTAAGCTCAAATTTCTTGGTGTTGGGCTGTTCAATTGAAATGTTTTTGGTATCATTAGATGCGCCAAGTCTTTCTCTATTGATAGGTACAGAAACTATTTAAATTGGACAGCACAACACCAAGAGATTTGAGTTCAAAGTTGGATTGCCAATGGCAAAGGGTCGGGTCGCCTCTTATACCCGGCAAAAGGGGTGCGGCGCGTATAAAAGATGACCCTTAGGGCTTTGGCTTAGGCTTAGGTTTAGGCTTGGACTTAGGCCTAGGCTAGCGGCTAGCGCCTCGCACTAAGTCCATTTTCTGTACCTCAGCCAGTTCTCGGTTAGGCTTAGGCTTCGGATAAAATCTAGAATAAATAAACGCAGAAAATACCACAATAGCTTTAGATTTTCTGGCATAAATCGAACCTTGTGCACTAGATTCTTTGCGTTTACAAAGCCAATTGTAAACGTGAAATGATTTGGTATCAATAGAAAACGAAAAGAACAATCGAAATAGGAAAACAACCGTCAAGTCGATGATGGGAAAATGCTAACAAAAACAAAAAGATTTCAGCGATTTCTACTTGAACATTTCATTGAATAAACAAATTTTAAGAATTGAAAACTATTAAAAACTATTAGAAAATCATTAAAAATCATTAAAAACCATTAAAAAACATTAAAAACAAAATATATAAGTAATCTACTGAACTAATTTAATATTGCAAAGGCTCAGTCTCTTGTCTCATTACAGTATTCTGAAAAAAGTAGACAAAAAGTAGACAAAAAGTAGACAAAAACTTGACAATAGCTTCTATTTAGCTAAAAGTTAAAGACTTTTAGTTTCAGTATACTGTACGACAAGAGATTGACACTTTATAATAACTTTACCAATCTCTAACCCTGAAGCTACTGTTTTAAGAAGATTTTGGGGTTATACAAGTACAGTCGAACCTCTCTACAAAGTAACTCACGGGACCGGCTATAGTTTACGTTATATAGAGGTTTACGTTATATAGAGGTTTTTTTATAGACATTTTGTATTACATTTGGCCGGGACCGGTCACGCCTTACGTTATAGAGAGGTTTACGTTATATCGAGGTTCGTTATAGAGAGGTTCGACTGTACTAGTGGATAAATTTATCATAAATTTACGTAAATTTCTAGTCTAACTATTCTTTTAGCTATAACAGTTTTAGCTAAAAGTGCCTAAGCCTAGGCGGGGGCGGGAGCAGGTCCATAGCTAGGCCCATAGTTAGGTCCATAGCTAGATCCATAGCTAGGCCCATAGTTAGGTCCATAGCTAGATCCATAGCTAGGCCCATAGTTAGGTCCATAGCTAGATCCATAGCTAGGCCCATAGTTAGGTCCATAGCTAGATCCATAGCTAGGCCCATAGTTAGGTCCATAGCTAGATCCATAGCTAGGCCCATAGTTAGGTCCATAGCTAGATCCATAGCCGTCCACAAGCGCCCAATCAATTTACACTCAAAAAGAAAATTTAGCTAAATATTCGTTTTGAATCATGAGCAGCGTTTTTGGAATCATGAGCAGCTGTTTTAGATCATCCGTGTTATCTAGGAGCCTTCTAACCACCGCCAATCGATTCTCCGTATCACTTTACATAAAACAAGCAAGCTAAAAATTTGATTTAAAGCTTTTGGAGTAAGCTAGAGGTGCTCAAAGTTGGGTTGTCATGGCTTTCTTGCGCCTCTGCCCAACTTCAAGCCCCTCTAGCTCGCTCCAAAAGCTTTAAATCAAATTTTTAGCTTACTTGTTTTATGTAAAGTGATACGGAGAATCGATTGGTGATGGTTAGAAGGCTCCTAGATAACCCTGATGGTCTAAAACAGCATCTAGAGCTTCTAAAACCGGTGTTGATGATCTAAAACCGGTGTTAATGATCTAAAACTCTTAAAATTTTTAGATTTAGCTTCAATTTACAAGTTTAGATTGAAGTTAAGATTGAAGTTATATGTTTAGATCGAAGTTAGATGTTTAGATTGAAGTCTGGAACCTATATTATAACCCCAAAATGCGTCTAACAAATTGGAACATGACTAAAAAGATACGAAACAGATTCTCCGTTGTGCGTTCGACGAATTGCTTCAGCTAGAATCATCGAAATGTCGATGCACTGAATTTTCGGGCATTTCTTCATATTTTCCTCTTGTGGGATTGTATTTGTGACGACAACCGCTTCAAAAGCCGAATTATTCAATCGTTGCAGCGCTGGACCAGAGAAAATCCCGTGAACACAGAAAGCGAAGACTTTTGACGCGCCGGCTTCCACGAGCTTGTCAGCTGCTAAACAAATCGTTCCACAAGTGTCCGCCATGTCGTCAACGAGAATTGCGACTCGATCTTTCACTGTGCCCACCAAAGTCATTTTCTCGACCTCATTCGCGCGCTTTCTTTCCTTATGAATCAACGCAAAGTCGACATTGAGCCGATCTGCAATACTCGTGACTCTCTTCGCTCCACCAGCGTCCGGTGAAACGATCACTGATTGTTGCCAATTCGGAATCGATTCTCGAATGAATTTGAGAATCGCCGGCTCTGCATACAAATTATCCACCGGAATATCGAAAAAGCCTTGAATTTGTGAAGCGTGCAAATCCATTGTGATAATGTGATCAGCTCCAGAGACAGACAACATGTTGGCGACGAGTTTTGCCGAGATTGGCGCTCGAGATTTATCCTTTTTGTCTTGTCGAGCGTATGGGAAACACGGAATCACGGCGGCTACACGAGACGCGGACGCGATTTTACAAGCATTGATCATGATGAGAAGCTCCATCAAATTGTCATTGATCTCGCCGCAAGCTGATTGAATGATGTACACGTCTTCGCCTCTCACCGACTCGCCGATCTCGACATTCGTCTCTTTATTCGAGAATTTCTTGAGTGAAGCCTTGCTGACATCGAGTTGTAGACGATCACAAATACGAGCGGAAAGATCGGGATGAGATGAGCCGGAGAAAACTTTGATGTTCGGCATTTTGGGTTCTTGTTCTTGTTGCTGTTCTTGCTGTTGAGAAATCTTTTCCTTTGATTGATCCGTTGAAGTTCGTTGAGCACTCAGCGTGCCGGATTGAACTGAAAATTGAATTGATAGGCTTTTGAAAGGCTTTTGAAGACTTTTGAAATTGTGAAACATTTGAGACGTGCCCCGCCCCTTTTGCCATTGGCAATCTAACTTTGAGCTCAAATATCTTGGGATTGGGTCATACAATTTAAGTATTCTTGTTATCATTGGATGCGCCAAGTCTTTCTCTATTGATTGGTACAAAAACTAATGAAATTGGACGCACCAACACCAAGAAATTTGAGCTCAAAGTTGGATTGCCAATGGCAAAGGGGCGGGTCGCCTTTTCTACCCAGCAAAAGGGGCGCGGCGCGTATAAAAGGCGCCCCGTCCTCTTTGTCACTTTTAGAAAGTGGATTTGTTTCAGAGAAACTTGAAAAGAAGATTGAAAAGAAGAAAACATGAAAATGAAAATGTAAAAAGTAAGAAAATTGATTGGAATTTGTTAAAACTTTAAGTGTACTTTGTAGGTTTTAAAAAAAGATCGTTTAGATCGAAGGATCGTTTTAAAAAACGATTCTAGCTTTTAAAAAAAGAATTAAGAGTACAGAAAGTTGATTAAAAACGATTTCAAGATTTCAAAATTCTTCAGACAAAGTCCAAAGTTCAAAAATTCAAAAACTCAAAGCCATTGATTTTCTTTTGGTTTACCTCAATTGATTCAAAGCGATTGATTGATTAGAAAATTGATTAGAAGCTTGATTAGAAGCTAATTTAACTTCTAATCAATACAGCAAGTTGATTAACCCAAAACCAAAACAAAATCAAATATTTTTAAAGCAAAAAAAAGAAATTTGATAAGATTGAGGCAAAAAAATGACAGATTCGCGGGCAAAATCGTCCCGTTTTGCTTCCCTTTCGACTACAAAGAACAACTCGGCAAAATGCCAAGAAAATCGGTGGAAAATCGGTGGAAACTCAGGGAAATGGGGGTAAACAATGGGATAAATATTGGAGAATATTGGAAAACATATTGGAAAACATTAAGAAATCAAAGTCTTGAAAGTCTTGAAGAGTCTATTGCAAAGGCTAAAAGTTGAAAGCTAAAGCTGAAAGCTAAAGCTGATGGCTAAAGTTAAAGGCCAAAGCAGATGGCTAAAAGTTGAAAGCTAAAAGTTAAAGGCTAAAGTTAAAGGCTAAAAGTTAAAGGCAAAAAGTTAAAGGCCAAAAGTTAAAGGCAAAAAGTTAAAGGCTAAAGTTGATGGCTAAAAGTTGAAGGCTAAAGTTAAAGTGGCTAAAAGTTAAAGGCTAAAAGTTAAAGGCTAAAAGTTAAAGGCTAAAAGCTCAAGGCTAAAATTTGAAGGCTAAAGCTGATGGCTAAAAGTTAAAGGCTAAAAGATCAAGGCTAACATTTGAAGGCTAAAGTTGAAAGCTTATCGAGCTTTAAAAGCTTTTAAAGCTCGATAAAGCCTGAGACGGAGATTGAGATTAAATCGAGATTAATTCAAATTCAAATTCAAATTCAAATTCAAATTCAAAATCAAATCAAATAGATCAAATGAATTCTTTGCTTTACGATGACAATTTTGATACAAAAGAAGATCGGAGAAAACATTTAAAAAGTGAACATCTGTCCTATCTCTTCGATTTGATCAAAAACAAACGATCGGATGGAAATTTCCCCTCTATTTTTCCGATGGCAGTGTATCGTACTAGCAATTGCACTTTAGAGAAAAAGATCTGTCTGGCGGAAATCGATAAGGTCAAAGCTTTCAAAAAACTTTAGTAGAAAAGTCATTATTTTGTTTATTGCTAAGTTTCTAGCTTTCCCAGGTATCATTTTTCAGCTTCGGTATCATTTTCCAGCTTCAATACCATTTTACATGTAAAGGAATAAAGAAATTGAGAGCCAGACTTTGAAGATTCATAACTTTGCTTAAAAGCTTTGCTTAGAAGCTTTCCTTAGAATATTATTATTGATTTGTTTTATAGTTTTAAAGAGGACACTCTAGGCTTTCAAATGATATCAAATAGGATTCAATTCGACTAAAATATCTTAAGAAAATCAAGACAAGACGCTTGAGTTAAAGAAATATCCGCATAACATTTCGAGGCAGTATTTCGGTGCAATATTTCGCGAATTCTTGGACTACAGGGTGTCCCAGAATTACGGTAACCTGTAAGGAGCGGGACTAGAAAGCCAAAATTGACCAAGAACGAAAAGTAAACGAACAAATTTATTCTTTTAACACTATTCAACAGAATAATTCAATTTTTTTCAAAGTGAGATCCCTTAGCGTCGATGCAAGCCTGTAAACGTTTTGGAAAAGCGTCGACGGTGGCGAGAAGGTATCGTGGATCGATCGCCTCCCACGCTTTTTGAAGCGCTTTCTTCAACGATTCCACTGTTTTATGTGATTTTGCGCAAGCCTGGGACTCCAAAACACTCCATACAGAGAAATCCATTGGATTGAGATCCGGGGACGAAGGTGGCCATTGGTTGAAACTGATGAAGTCTGGGAAGTTGTTAGCACACCAATCCTGAATCAATTTTGCTTTATGCGCCGGCGCCCCGTCTTGTTGGAAGCACCAAATCCTGTTCCCAAAGTGTTTTTTGCTCCAAGGAAGAAGCTCATTTTTCAAAATATCCAGATAATTCTGCGCATTCACTTTAATGCATTCACGGACAAGGTCGCGCACCTTCTTGATGATGGCTTTGTTGATAACAGATCGTTTGTTACCTCGTCCTTTCCGATCGAAATTGGTGCCCAGTTCCTTGAATCTTGCAATAGTCGTCGAAACCAGCTTCATTCGAGACTTTCAATCGCTTTGAAATATCAATCGCTCGGGTCCCGCCTTTGTGAAGTTGAATGATCGAGTTACGATGAGCAGAAGGCTTCGTCATTCTAAATTTAAAATCAGATTTTGATGTAAACATTAACAAAACATTCAAAAAAAGAGAATAAACCAAAAAAAGCTAAATCACAGGCAACTCAAAACTCAAAAACGGGCAAAGCAGCGGGGCAGAGCCGGTTACCGTAATTCTGGGACACCCTGTAATAACGCAACAAAAACGACACCATTTAAATCTAAAAATAAAACGAAAACCAAGAAAACTATTGACAAAAAAGGTAAAAAGATTTTGCACGGTCGGGGATCCAACCAGGGTTACAAGGAATTTGACCATAGTTTTTACCCACTCGGCCACGGCGACACTACCGTTAAAGCTTCCAAAAGGGAACACCTATCCGTCGGGAACGTGTGCCAGGTCAAGAGCGATTATGCGGCCACATACTCGACCACAAAAACGCTGATTAATCGAGTAAAGATTATTCATGCAAATTTGACTCGAGTAAAATTTGCATGAGTAATTTTATTCGACTTACTCGCGAGGAACACACTCTAGTTGCGAAAATAGCAACATCGGATAGCTATAGCAGCAGCAAGAAAGCAGCATCGCATAGCTAAAGCAGCAGCAAGAAAGCAGCATCGGATAGCTATAGCAGCAGCAAGATAGCAGCATCGAAATCATCGTGAAATTCAAATGGTTTATGGCCGATGTCATTTCGCTAACAAAACCGGTTGACTTTACTTGTCAGTTTTTGCCCCAATTAAAAACTTGACGAGAAAAATGCATTTCAAGTTCCGAACATTTTCGAAAAATCACTTTCGAGCCAATAAGGGCGAGGGAAGAAAGAGCAGCGGTGGCCTAGAGGATAGTGAGCTGGCCTATGAATTCGGTCCCTCTCCTTGCCGTGGGTTCGAGTCCAGCTACCGACAAGGTTCTTTGCTTTTTTGAAAAATAGACAGAAAAACAGACAACAGATGAAAAACAGAGAGACAGACAAAATACCAAATACAAATACTATTTGAAAAATATCATATGGCTCTGTCATTTGGCCACCAGATCTTTTCTTGTTATACATTTGTGTTGAAAGGCCACGGTTAATCGTGAATCTCCGCTTGTGAGGATCATCTCATTCAATGTTTCAAGCAGAATTGGGCCATTCCAATGGGTAGCTTTGTTATTGTTGTCAATTTGATGTGTTATCAATTTTTTCTCTTGTTTTAGGTTACGAAGGTTACGAGGTTTTAGGTTTTAGGTTAGTTGAAGAATGCTTGTTTTGCTTAAGAAATGGCTAAGGTTTTGGGGAGAATTGAATCAAAAGTTGGCAAAAAACGTTGGCAAACGTTGATAGAAACGCTGATGGAGAGGTTGATCCAAACGTTGATGCAAACGTTGATGCAAACGTTTGCACAAGCGTTGATACAAGCGTTGATACAAGCGTTGATACAAACGTTGAAGAAATCAACGATACAAGCGATGATTTGAATCCTTTCGACTTTAATGTTCCTCTTGATCTTGCTGTTTAATTGTTACTTTTCATAATTGTTATTTAAGAAAAGTTGAAGAATGCTTATTTTGATTAAGAAATGGCCAAGGTTTTAGGAGAATTGAACACAAAAGTTGGTAGAAACGCTGGTAGAAACGTTGATAGAAACGTTGCTACAAACGTTGATACAAACATTGGTACAAACGTTGATTCAATCGGGTTTTTGTTATCAAGGTTGATACCAACGTTGATACAAACGTTGATACAAACGTTGGTACAAACATTGGTACAAACATTGACACAAACGGTGACACAAACGGTGATACAAACATTGCTACAAACGTTGGTACAAACATTGGTACAAGCGTTGCTACAAACATTGCTACAAACGTTGAAGAAATCAACGATACAAGCGATGATTTGACTCCTTTCGACTTTAATATTCCTCTTGATCTTGCTGGTTAATTGTTACGTTTCATAATTGTTATTTATTTTAATTTTGTTAATATTCAATAAATGTTATGAGAAATTTACTTTAATAGAAATAATATTTTAATAGAAATAATAGAAATAATAGAAATAATAGAAATCCGACATAGCTCTTTAAAATTAGGAATGAAAAATCGAACGACTTCGTTTAATAGACTCTCGAAGGACTACAGGGTGCGGCATAAGTATGGTTACAGACTCAGAACCGTGTATCGTAATGAAATATGAACGGATTCATGTATCGAGCAATCGTTGGCTCTAAGGCTCTTAGCTCTAAGACTCTTAGCTTAGCTCTAAGACTCTTAGCTTAGCTCTAAGACTCTTAGCTTAGCTCTAAGACTCTTAGCTTAGCTCTAAGGCTCTTAGCTTAGCTCTAAGGCTCTTAGCTTAGCTCTAAGGCTCTTAGCTTAGCTCTAAGGCTCTTAGCTTAGCTCTAAGGCTCTTAGCTTAGCTCTAAGGCTCTTAGCTTAGCTCTAAGGCTCTTAGCTTAGCTCTAAGGCTCAGCATTTACGGTATTTCGATTTCCTATTCCCACTAATTTGGATTCATGCTTTTCAGGAATAAAACTTTCCTTTTTACACGAGATTTTTCTCAACTCTTATTTCTTTTCCTCACTTCAATCGGGTTTTTTGTTATCAAGGAAAAGGAGAAGACAGAATGGGTCAATTGATGGTGACTTTTCGAAAGAATGAGTCATTTTGAATGAGAAGAGTAGGGGGGAAAAGAAAAGCAAAGCAAAATAAATAGGCAAACTGAAGAATTTATTCGATGAATACACCTGATTTGATCGATTTTTGAGTTTTTTTAGCTAAAATGATCGATTTTCAAGCTAAAAGCTCGATTTTTAAGCTAAAATGATCGATTTTCAAGCTAAAAGATCGATTTTTAAACTAAAATCATCGATTTTTGTCCAAGAATGGTCGCTTTTTATGCATATAAACTCTTTTTTGAGCCACCTTTAACTCAACGAGGGCTTCTTTGTACGCTAAAGTACGCTAGAGTACGCTAGATTACGCAAGAGTACGCCTACGCTAGAGTACGCTAGATTACGCAAGAATACGCCTACGCTAGAGTACGCCTACGCTAGAGTACGCTAGATTACGCAAGAGTACGCCTACGCTAGAGTACGCTAGAGTAAGCCTACGCTAGAGTACGCTAGAGTACGCTAGAGTGCGCTAGAGTGCCCTAGAGTGCGCTAGAGTACGCTAGAGTACGCTAGAGTAAGCCTACGCTAGAGTACGTCTACGCTAGAGTACGCTAGAGTACGCTAGAGAACTCTACGAGGACTCCTTTGTGCTCTAGAGTACGCCAAAGAGAAAAAAAATATTTATTTACCCAGCTCAACGTTCACCGTTTCAACTTTCATCAAACTCTTTAACGAAATTGTTTCAAAAATTTTGATCAAATTTGAGTGTTTATATTTTTTATTCTTATTCATTCATTTGTCATTTCAAAGTGTCACAATCAAATCAGTCAATCGATGCAAAAAAAAATTTTGAAATCTTTCTTGTTTTTCTTCGCATTTTATGGCTTGTTTTTGAGTGGTGCTTTGAAAGATTCTTAGTATTTATCTAATAGAAAGTTCTCTGTTTTTTAAAGGCTTTAAAGGTTTAAAGGCTTTAAATGCTTTAAATGCTTTAAAGGTTTAAAGACTTTAAAGGCTTTAAATGCTTTAAAGGTTTAAAGGTTTTAAAGGCTTTAAAGGTTTAAAGGTTTAAAGACTTTAAAGGCTTTAAATGCTTTAAAGTCTTTAAAGGCTTTAAAGACTTTAAATGCTTTAAAGGCTTTAAATGCTTTAAAGGTTTAAAGGTTTTAAAGGTTTAAAGGCTTTAAAGGTCTTAAATGCTTTAAAGGTTTTAAAGACTTTAAAGGCTTTAAAGGTTTAAAGGTTTAAAGGTTTAAAGGTTTAAAGACTTTAAAGGCTTTAAAGGTTTAAAGGTTTAAAGGTTTAAAGGTTTAAAGACTTTAAAGGCTTTAAAGGTTTAAAGGTTTAAAGGTTTAAAGGTTTAAAGACTTTAAAGGCTTTAAAGACTTTAAATGCTTTAAAGGCTTTAAATGCTTTAAAGGTTTAAAGGTTTTAAAGGTTTAAAGGCTTTAAAGGTCTTAAATGCTTTAAAGGTTTTAAAGACTTTAAAGGCTTAAAGACTTTAAAGGCTTTAAAGGTTTAAAGGTTTAAAGGTTTAAAGACTTTAAAGGCCTAAAAGGTTTAAAGGCTTTAAATTCTTTAGAGGTTTAAAGCCTTTAAAGCCTTTAAACCTTTAAATGCTTTAAACACTTGTGGCTTTTATATTAATTGAATATCTTATTTGATTTATGATTTAGATTGAAAAATGAGACGACGAAAATCGATGGAAAGAATTAGATCCATTCTGCCACCATTGCCCTCGTGTTGGAGGTTTGTGAATGGGTTTTTCACAAATACGTTTATTTATGCGAATAATGTGATAAAAACCGTATATAAGCACAACTCTTAAGCCGTAAATGTAGAGAAAAAAAACCAAAAAAAGTCGAGAAAAACTCGTTCAAAGCGGAGCGTTGCGTGGTCTAGCTTTGAACGCGTTTTTCTCGACACTGGTTTAAGCTACAAGGTATCGTTTTGGTATCAAAAATATAGCTGAGATTCAGGGCTATTTTTTGATATTAAAGACGCATTTTTTGAAAGTACGGGCGCTTTGAAAAAGATGAAATACTAAAAACAATTTTGCGACGACGCGACTGTACGATGAAAAACATGATGCATTTCTTTTGTAATGTTTTTGATTTATTGTTTTATTGTTTTCGAATTTGATTTATAAATAAGAAGAGCATTCGATAGGAATTTTGACCTAATTTTGACCTAATTTTGACCTAATTTTGATCCAATTTTGATCTAATTTCCTAATTTCGATCTAATTTCCTAATTTCGATCTTGATTTCGATCTTTCGATCGATCTAATTTCGATATCTAATTTCCATATCAAAAAAAGTTTATCGTAAATCTCTTTCTTTCTGCTTCTGTGCTTTCTAGCTTGTCAGAAAATTCTTCAAACAGAAATTTCAAATGAGTACCCCCAAATAAGGCCTTTTTCTTGCAAAGATAAGAAGCTTGCCTCATCTTTTCATTGACTACTTCCCAAGAATTAATAAATTTTATTTCTACACTGAGCTTTCAATTGAATCACGGAACTGGGCAAAGCTTGGAATGGAGAGGTTGATTATAATTTACAAAGCAAAGCTGGCAAAGCAAAACTGGCAAAGCAAAGCTGGCAAAGCTGGCAAGGCAGGCAAAGCTGGCAAAGCAGGCAAAGCTGGCAAAGCAGGCAAAGCAAAGCTGGCAAAGCAAAGCTGACAAAGCTGGCAAAGCTGGCAAAGCAGGCAAAGCAGGCAAAGCAAAGCTGGCAAAGCAAAGCTGACAAAGCTGGCAAAGCAGGCAAAGCTGGCAAAGCAGGCAAAGCAAAGCTGGCAAAGCAAAGCTGACCAAGCTGACAAAGCTGACAAAGCTGGCAAAGCTGGCAAAGCAAAGCTGGCAAAGCTGGTAAAGCAAAGCTGGTAAAGCAAAGCAAAGCTTGCAAAGCAAAGCTGGCAAAGCTTGAAGAGCAGAGCTTGAAGAGCAAAGCTTGAAGAGCAAATCAAAGCAAGGCAAAGCTAGCAAAGCAAAGCTGTCAAAGCTTTTTTGAATTCTGTGCCAAAATAAAACCATTCTTTCTCGATTCTTCTAACAGTATAAGAAAATGGAAAAATGATGTATCAGATGGCTAAGAAAGTGTACCTAAATATGTTTCTATTTTAGTACCAAAGTACGAACAAAACTAGCCAAAGAAGCTAAGCCAAAGAAGCCTAACCATTTAGCTATTTAAGCTTAATCATCTAGCTATTTAAGCTTAGCCATTTAGCTTAACCATTTAGCTATTTCAGCCTAACCATTTACCGTATTTCCCTAATAACCCCCTGACCCTTTGGACCTCGTTCCGCCCCATTTTGAGGTATTTTATGTTTAATATTCAAAGATGCCCTTAATGTCTTCTATCTTTTGATATATTAACATAAAATACTCATGGGGGGACGAAGCGTCCAAGTGGTCGGGGGCTTATGGGGGCTATTTAAGTTTAACCATTTAACCAGCTATTTAAGCTTAATCATCTAGCCATTTAAGCTTAACCAGCTTGACCAATTCAATGCAATGATCTACTATTATCCAGCTACTAAAAACCCTGAACTTTCCCTTGAAATTTGTCCAAGAACCGTCATCTTTCTTGGCACTGCGCGTTTTTGAGCTGTCAAAATCCGGCGATTACGTCCCGCTGAAACGTCATTTTTTTTCCGGATCACCGCAAAAAACTATAATTTATTGAAATCAACTCTATTATGTCGAATTATTCAATTATGATCTCCAGGCGGCGAATTTTACGCAATTTTTCCGAAAAGCGGTGATTTCGGAGTTTCAAAACAAAGAACTTTGCGCTTTCAGTTATCAGTTTTTCGAAAAAAGAAAGCTTTTTCAGAAATTGAATAAGCTGAATAGACCATAAACTTTAAAATACGGAAATTGGATAAACTTTTTGGATAAACTATAGCTAGGCTTTGGATAAACTATAGCTAGGCTTTGGATAAACTATAGCTAGACTTTGGATAGACTATAGCTAGACTTTGGGTAAACTATAGCTAGACTTTGGATAAACTATAGCTAGACTTTGGATAACCTATAGCTAGACTTTGGATAAACTATAGCTAGACTATAGCTAGACTATAGCTAGACTATAGCTAGACTATAGGTAGACTTTGGATAGACTAGCTTTATATAGAATAAACTGATCTATAAACTGATCATTAAATTTTTAGTGATCATCTTCTTCATCCGGAGCATCTCTCGAGTGGAAGCTCAGCCGTGAGGTGAGTCATTTACGGCATTGATAATCAACGGCAACGGGATTTACCGCAACGGCATTCACGCCAAAATTCGGATAGTTCAATTCCTTTATTTTTCAAACTTTTCATATAAATTATACGATTAATATGGAAATATTTTGAAGTATAATTTATTATATAAAAAAAGCTTAAAGCAATTGTTGCCCAAGGGAAATTGTGGAGCTTTTGAGCCATTCTTTATCCATTCTTTAGCCATCCTTGAGCCATTCTTGAGCCATTCTTTAGCCATTCTTTAGCCATCCTTGAGCCATCCTTGAGCCATCCTTGAGCCATTCTTGAGCCATCCTTTAGCCATCCTTTAGCCATTCTTTCGCCATTCTTTAGCCATTCTTTAGCCATTCTTGAGCCATTCTTTAGCCATTCTTTAGCCATCCTTTAGCCATTCTTTCGCCATTCTTTAGCCATTCTTTAACCACTCTTTAACCACTCTTTGTTTAGCTATAATCCTCATCATATAAAAGCTATTGAGTATTGCAACCCACAGCCTTCATATATCCATTGCGGACCGGACAGACGACTTAGTAGAGCGGGAAACGGCCTCTCTTAGCCCTGCGCCCTGCTCCAGACCGTGAGCGTTTACCAGACCCCACAAAGACCGCACAAAGAACACCTCGCCGTCTCTTTACAAAGGAATTTCTTTTGTTCTAAACATTGCCCAGATAAGATTTAAAGCTAAAAATTTGTACCCAGGGGTTTTTGGGGTCGGAGAAGCGATTGGAGGGGTTTGTTTTTTGTATTTCCAAGCACAAATCTCTAATCTCTTATTTGTGCTGATCATGAGTCATTTTCCCTTTAACTGGCTTTAACCGGCTTTAACCGGCTTTAGCTGGCTTTAACCGGCTTTAGCTGGCTTTAACCGGCTTTAACTGGCTTTAACCGGCTTTAACCGGCTTTAGCTGGCTTTAACCGGCTTTAACCGGCTTTAACCGGCTTTAACCGGCTTTAACCGGCTTTAACTGGCTTTAACCGGCTTTAACTGGCTTTAACCGGCTTTAACCGGCTTTAACCGGCTTTAACCGGCTTTAACCGGCTTTAACATTAGCTCTGTAGGTCTACTGTAGGTGTAAGTTATTACCAAAACCTCTAAAAATCCAGATCCAGCTCAAGTTCTCAATTTAGCCCATCAAATGTTTCGGACGAGTTCTCATTTCTTGATGGTTTAACGGGAAGTCCAGGGATTCCGTTGAGTTCACCGAGTTTCCCTTTGCCCACCAGTCCACCACCGTCAAACAGAAGTCCGAACTCAAGGACACCTGAGGGTAAGCGATTTTTTCTAATACAATACCTTAGCTTAAGTCTTAGCTTTCTCAATTGACCTATTCCAATGCACTTCTCCTACAATTCCTCACGATTTTTGAATCCTTTCCATGCTTAGATTTTGGACTATCTCATCCGTGCTATTCAGAAAGCTTTGGCCTTTGGCCCAAAGGAAATTGTGGAGCTTTTGAGCCATTCTTTAGCCATTCTTTAGCCATTCTTTAGCCATCGAGTATTGCAACCCATAGCCTTAATAAAGCTATATACTATATGTGCATACATACCGTATTTTCTCTGCACCGCGGCCGAGCCGAGTTGGTGACTATTTTACGATTTCCAAGCTTTCCCAGAAGCTCAACACTCTAATAGATCACTAGATCTCATCCTAAGCTACATTTTCCGACCCCACATCGATAGGTTCTGATAAGCGGTTCTCGAGATTTCGAGGAATTTAGATTTCGAGAATAGAATCCTCGAGATTTCGAGGAATTTAGGCGACGCTCACGGTGCATTAGAGAAAATGCTCGCGGTGCACTAATATTAGAGAAAATACGGTAATTTCATGCATAATATCATCATAATATCATTATAATATCATAAATAACTTTCAGTTATACCAGTAATTATAATCGTACAAGTTTTGAGCACCAAGGTGATTCTTGGACTTAAATTTTGAGGCAAAACGAGTCTAGATCAGTTGATAAGGTTCATAGCATTGATAAGCTATTAGCATTGGTAAGCTATTAGCATTGATAAGCTATTAGCATTGATAAGCTATTAGCATTGATAAGCTATCAGCTTCAAAGCTTTTCAAAGCCTAATAGCTTATCCTTTCTCCTTCCTTTTTGTACTTTTATTGAAAAATAATACATTCAGGAAATGGATCTAGACTTAAAGTGTGGATTACTTGGGCATTACTTGAGATTAACCATTACTTGAGATTAACCATTACTTGGCAATAACCATTACTTGACATTAGCCATTACTTGAGATTAACCATTACTTGAGATAAGCCATTACTTGAGATTAGCCATTACCTGACATTAGCCATTACTTGACACTAACCTATTACTTGACACTACCCATTACTTGACATTAACCATTACTTGACATTAGCCATTACTTACCATTAGCTTCATCGTCATCTTCCCTTCACCACCAAAAAAGCTATTTAGTTCCCCATTGAGCTTAGGGTTAGGGAGCCGTCTGTCATGACGTGGGTTAAGTTAAGATATAGCCTAGTATTGTGTGTGTCGTTGTATTGTGATTGATATATTTCGTGTATGCGATAAATTCACCACTGGTAGACCCAGTCGGTATTTTTTTCCATTAGCCATTACTTGACATTAGCCATTACTTACCATTAGCCATTACTCGACATTACAAGCCTCAAACCCCAATTCAATTCCAGTTCTTGAATCAATTATCGAAAAATCAAAAAACCAGAATCGAGTAATCGAGTGATTTTCTCGCATTTTCTCTCATTTTCTCTCATTTTCCTTTTTCTTGTCAATCTTTTTGCGCAAATTTGCGGAACGGCTTTTCGCCCGCTCTTTCAGCTAGAAAATGGTTCACTTTTTTTTGTTGACATGCCCAAAAATCATTGTTTGTTAAGTTATCAGCTAACAGTTTTTTATTTAGATAGTTTTTCTAGCTTAAAGACTAGCATACCGTAGATACTGTAATAGTACCGCAATCCCATAATGATCATGCGGGCGTTGCGTCGTCTAGCTTTGAACAAGTGTTTCTCGACACTGGTTTCTGCTAGAATGCTGGCTTAAGTATCAAAAAATAGCTGAGATTCAGGGCTATTTTTTGATACCTAAATGATACCTGTAGCATAAACCAGTGTCGAGAAAAACTTGTTCAAAGCTAGACTACGCAGAGCTAGACTAGCTAGACTGCGTCGTCTAGCTTTGAACGAGTGTTTCTCGACACTGGTTTAAGCTACAGGTATCGTTTAGGTATGAAAAAATAGCCCTGAATCTCAGCTATTTTTTGATACCTAAATGAGCATTGTAGCATAAACCAGTGTCGAGAAAAACTCGTTCAAAGCTAGACTACGCAACGCTCCGCATGATCTTTCTGGAGCTGGGGCACTATTATAGTATTTACTAGGGTTTTGCTCTAGTTTTATTGTTTTAAAAGGTGTTTTTTGTTCAATTTCGGACTTTTGGCATTCATTCAAAGCTTTCTAATAGAACTCTAGAATAAAATTGATCATTTTATGCAAAAAATAGCTCTCAGCACTAGATTTTACATTTTTTTAGCTTTTTTTTGAGAAAACTTAAGCTAAAAAGGATAAAGTTTAAGCAGAGAATAGAAAAAAGATTATAATAATTGATTTTTGAATCAGTATGATTGATTTTTCAATTGATTTTTCAATTAAAAATCAATCAGAAATCAGAAAAAGGCTCAGCAACAAGTTTTCATGCAATTTTATTGCTTTTCCAAGAGAAAAGACACAAAAAGAGATGGAAAAAAAAGAAAAACGAAGAAAATCCATAATTTGTTATCTCGAATTGTCCAATTTCGCTCTTTTTCCCCAAAAAAATCTCATCATTGTTTCGAGCAAAGACAAGAAAAAAGTGTGGAAAAACGATTGTCTTTTCCTTTTTCTTTGTATCTTTTGATTGGTTTTGAGGGGGATTTTGCGTGGCTCCTTTTCAGCAAAATCTCTCACCTTTTTAATTGAATATCTTTATATCTCTTTGATGATTGGATAATTGATTTCTCTTATCACATTTCTCTCATCATTTATTCAATAGAAACTTGAATAAGTTAGTCTTTTAGTTAGTTCTTTAGCTAGTTCTTTAGCCAGTTATTTAGCTAGTTCTATAGCTAGTTCTATAGCTAGCTCTATAGCTAGTTCTTTAGCTAGTTCTTTTAGTTCTTTAACTAGTTCTTTAACTAGTTCTTTAGCTAGTTCTATAGCTAGTTCTATAGCTAGTTCTAAAGCTAGTTCTTTAGTTAATTCTATAGCTAGTTCTTTAGCTAGTTCTTTAGTTTATTCTTTAGCTTTAAGCTTTAGATTGGCTGAATACCTTTGAAACTTTCGATCTCGAAAGTTTGCGTTACTTTGCGTTACTCGAAAGTTTGCGTTACTTCGATCACTTCAACGTTTTCGAGAAAGCCGAGCGAGCTGAGAGCCACTTTGAGAGCCGAGCGAGCTGAGAGCCGGCCACTTCAACGTACTAGAAAATTGTTGAGTTGAGTACTGAGTAACTTAAGTTCTTAAGTTCTTAAGTTACTCAGTACTTAAGTTAGTTCATTAGCTAGTTCTATAGCTAGTTCATTAGCTAGTTCATTAGCTAGTTCATTAGCTAGTTCATTAGCTAGTTCTTTAGCTAGTTCTATAGCTAGTTCTATAGCTAGTTCTATAGCTAGTTCATTAGCTAGTTCTATAGCTAGTTCATTAGCTAGTTCATTAGCTAGTTCTTTAGCTAGTTCTTTAGCTCGTTCTTCAGCTAGTTCTTTAGTTCGTTATGTTAGTTTATGTTAGTTTATGTTAGTTATTGGTAGTTGTTAGTGTTAGTTGTTAGTGTTAGCTATTAGTGTTAGTGTTCGTTATATTAGTCCTTTTTAGGTTTTTATTTCCAATTCAATTCAATCCAATTCAATTCAATGTCAATTTCATTCATAATTTATTAGTTTAAGCACACTTTTCCATAATTTTATCTATAATTTGTCAGTATTTAAGCAAATTTAAGCAAATTTTTCATTATTTTATCTATAATAAATCGAATAATTTGATCGAATCGAATAATTTGCCATTTTAAGTGAGCAGTTTGAGCTTTTTAGTTTATAAACGACTTTGTTCATTTAAAACAATCAGTTTGTCCATTTAAACCAATCACTTTGCCCATTTAAAACAATCAGTTTGCCCATTTAAACCAACCAATTTGTCCATTTATCTCGCATAAACGTGCACGTGTGGCACGTGTGGCTGACTGGTTAACTGTCTTTTATCTTAATCGAAAGGTCGAGGGTTCGAACCCCACATGCGACATGGTCACCCCCTTCGGATTTCCTTTCCCTTCGGGTTGGGAGGTTTTCTGGAGGGCAGTCTGGTGGTTGTGGCCCCAGTTCTTTAAAGTGACAAGCCACTCCTTCATCGTCATCTTCCCTTCACCACCAAAAAAGCTATTTAGTTCCCCATTGAGCTTAGGGTTAGGGAGCCGTCTGTCATGACGTGGGTTAAGTTAAGATATAGCCTAGTATTGTGTGTGTCGTTGTATTGTGATTGATATATCTCGTGTATGCGATAAATTCACCACTGGTAGCCCCAGTCGGTATTTTTTTAAACCTATGCCATATGCTAAGAAAAAGATCTGCTAAGATATGCTAAGAAAAATGAAGAATGTCGAATGTCGAATGCGAATCAAATGCACTAGAAGCTTGTGCTTACAAATGAACAAAAGCTTGTGTGTGCTTTCACCAAAAAGTACACCAAAATCTGAGATGAATGAAAAAAACTTTCAAAAACAATCTCTTTTCTCTCTTCAATCTCTTTTCACAATCTCTTTTCAATCCACAATTCAATCCATTTCCTAAAATACCGCGATTTCCTTTAATTCTCTAATTGATTTCTCTCTCTTTTCACCTTTTATTGCGAACATTTCGTAAAATTGAAAACTGATCGTAAAAAAAATCGTAAAATCAATTCCTTACTTAGTCGAACATTTCAAAATTTGATATGATTTTGGTTTTTTTCTCAAAAATCTCAATTGAACTTTTTACGCGTAAACGCAGCCTTTCTTGAGCACTGAATTCTTCATTTTATTGCAAAATGGAATTGATTGAACCAGAAAGAATGCATTTGACATTTTCTGATTCAAAAATACACTTACGCGTTAAATTTTGTGTTTCTCTTTGAAATGAGAAAGAAATCGATTTCTATTTGGGAGCTGAGTGGAGAATTTGGAACTTCTTTTCCATCGTAAACAATTCATTCCTACTCCACAGACTCGGCAATCACTTCTGAAGATAGTTTTTCCCAAGA